CAGTCACTAAATGAATGATTGTATGACAAGAACTACCTATTGTTAGTTTCTGTTGCTTAAATGTGAACAATGATAATACAGATATTATGTGATTAATTTTTTTCTTGTGAATCTGGAGAGAATGCCTGCCTCAATTTGGGACAGTTTGTGAGAACAACAGCATTTGTGATGTATATAGATTAGTTATGCCAGAAGAATGGATGAATCTTTATTCAATTCTGTGAATAGTAATCCATGTTTGTCACCATCATTATTTCTGGAAAATATAGGCATAGGGTTTTTTCAGGCATAACTCCACAAAAAACTTTGTAGAGTTGCTTTTCCCAAAGTAAAATAGCTTTCTAGAATGACCTTTCAGAAACGTGGATTGTAAATCCAAGAATTAGACCAACTTGGTAATTAATTTTATTTGTTATGAATACCTCCAATATATTTGGAGGTTATGAATATTTATAACAAAAACAGTCTGACTGAGCTTCATCTGGTGGTTTATTGTTATTATATTTGGTTTGCTTTCCTTTTTTCTGTATTGATGCAGACTAGATAGTCTAGCTCCCTTCATTTTTTTTATAAGATCAAAATACTTCTTTCATAAGACATTTGGATATTGTTGACAGATTATTCAAAAGTAGGAGCTTCTCTGACCCTCAACCTACATCTTATTAGTTTTACAACCCAAAGCCTCTTGCCTGTTCAGTTCAGATATCATCCTTGGTAGTCTCTCCTGTCAGTTATAGTAGATATGTAGGCTTTCCATTGTCTACTTCTAAAGGACAACCATTAACAATAAACAGATGAGGATGTCACCATTCCCAACCTGGAAACGTTCAGAAGCCATTAATCAGCAAATATTTGCTATAAAATATATATCTGCTCAAGTCAATGAGACACAGCTCCACCAGATACTGGCAGCTCACCCAGTGTTCTAATGCAGACTCCTTTACTTACAGACATTCCCAGTCTTGCTTTGCATTTGTGATCATTAGCAGGCAGTGCCTTTCCCACAAGCAAAGGTGTTTGGTGCTCCCTTCCTTAAATGGGCAGGACGCTGTTCAGGTTTCTGGTGATGGCCATTAAAGAAACAATGGGAGGAATAAAAATAACAGGCATATAAAATGAAAGTTAGAGACTTTTGACGAGGTTCACTAACTTTTCAGGGATTGAGAATATTAAGTTTTCATACCGGCACCTGGGCATACCAAACCACCTGGTTTGGTCTACCTAGGCTGCTGTTTTTGTCTTTGATCCACTATACCCGCAGCAGTTTTTCTTCTGTTGTATTTTTACTCTTGTAAGGGAAGAGCAGGGCCAAATCATGGCTCTTGCATTGTTTATATTATTCTGATTCTGTGTTTCCATGGCATTGTCTTTCAGACAGAAGAAAATCTGTTTAAAATAACTTCTTCTTCTCTTCCTCCTCCTCGTCCTCCTCCTCCTCCTTCTTCTTCCTCCTCCTCCTCCTCCAAAGGGACAGGAAATACTAGCATTCAGGAAGAATAAAACACTTCTAACACCTGCAGGGATTGTGTCAGCGATTGGCATTCCCATCAGTATTCAGGAAAATTATTAAGAAGACAAGAAAAAGAAAATAGTTATAAAGTCAGTCAGCAGTTGGGACAAAGTGAAATATCAGCTTTCCCTGCACTTTTGCCTGTGCATAAAATATAGGATGGAAGATGATAAGTATTTAGTATTTGTGCTGCTTCTAATATCAATCACATTGTCAGAACTTTCAATGTAAATTTTCTGTCTTGAAAAGTAAAGTTCAGCCTCAGTATTGTAAACTTATTTCTTCATGTAGCTCTCAAACCTACAAAAGGCTCAGAACACAGAACACCTGTTTCGGGCTGCCCTCTGCTGTCTACTTGGAGGAAAAAATAATACATGTCAAATGCTGGATTTTTATTTATTTATTATTTATAAAATTTATAGGTTGCCCATCTTACCTCAGGGTAACTCTGGACAGCTGACAATCATAAAAAATAAAACTGTATAAATTAAAAAACATAAATAAATTGACATAAAATCCAAAATACTACAGCCCAATGAATGATGGAGAGGGCGGGAGCAGGATGGGAAGAAGGTGGGATCTGTTGTTAATCAATCAACCACCTTCCACTGTGATGCTTCCCCATTGGAGCCCCAAAGTAACTGGCAGAGCCAACTCTTTAGGTCAGGAATGTTGGGGCCGGCTTCACACTGGGGGGGTAAGATGTTCCACAGAGCAGGTGCAACGACAGAGAAGGACCTTCACTTGGATCCCATCCACCGGAATAGTTGGACTGACAGGATCCGCAGCATGCCTCCTCTGCCAGCATTTTAATTTATATATTTAAAGATGCTCTTAAAGCACAGATACAGCTCACAATTTTAAATAACACACGTAAAGCCTGGCTGAAGATAAGGAACTGACTTTGCAGAAACTGCCTTTCAACTGCCATTACTTTCTTCACTGCTATGTTTTAATTATCAGCATTAAAACATAAAACATAGAATGATAGAGTTGTAAGAGACTTTGGAGGTCTTCTAGTCCAATCTCCTGCACATGGCGGGAGATCCTATATCATTCCGTATTTTCTTTGGACTTGATGGGATGGATACACATGATCATAGAAAGAATAGCAGAATAACAAAACAGAATAATAGAGCTGGAAGGGACACAAGAGGTCCTCAAGTCCAACCCCACACTCAAACAGGAAGCCCTACACCATTTCAGACAAATAGCTACCTAATCTCTTCTTAAAAACCTCCAATTTCTGGAGGCAAGTTATTCCACTGGTTAATTGTTATCATTGTTAGAAAATTTCTTCTTAATTCTAGGTTGCTTCTTTCCTTGATTAATTTCTATCCATTGCTTCATGTCCTGCCTTCAGGTGCTTTAGAGAATAGGTTGACCCCTTCTTCTCTGTGGCAGCCCCTCAAATATTGGAAGACCGATAACATGTCACCCCTAGTCCCTATTTTCAGTATACAGTATGCAATTCCAGCAAACCTTCTTCATATGTTTTAGTCTCCAGCCCCCTAAACATCTCTGTTGCTCTTCTCTGCACTCTTTCTAGAGTCTCAATATCTTTTTTATATTGTGAGGATTAAAACTGGATGCAATATTCCAAGTGTGGTCTTATCAAGGCATTACAAAGTGGTACTAACACTTCATGTGATCCTGATTCTATCCATCTGTTAATGCAGTCTAAGATTGCTTTATCTTTTTTGATGGCTGCAGCACACTGCTGGCTCACATTTAAGTGGTTGTCCACTAGGACTCCTAGATTTCTCTCGCAGTTACTGCTATTGAGCCAAGTTCCACTTATTTTATACTCATGCATTTGTTTTTTCTTGTTTAAATGTAAAATCTTACTTTTTTCACCACTGAATTTCATTTTTTTGGGATAGGGCCCAGTGTTCAAGTCTATCCAGAGCCTTCTGAATCTTGAATTTATCTTCTGGGGCATTAACTATTCCTGCCAGCTTGGGGCTGTCTACAAATTTGATGAGTTCCTGTTCTCTTCCCTCATCTGAATTTTATGAAGATGTGGAAGAGTACTGGGCCTAAGATAGAACCTTGGAGTGTCCCACTGCTTATTTCCTCCATTTAGATGTAGTTCCATTAAGGACTACATATTGAGTGTGGTTTGGCAGACAGCTACAAATCCATCTGGTAGTGATGCTGTCTATCCCACATTTTTGTAACTTATCAAGAAATAGATTGTGATCTAATTTGTCAAATGCCTTACTGAAATCTAAGCATATTACATTTCATTGGTCACTAATTTAATCACTTTGTCAAAGAATTAAATAAGATTTGTTTGGCATGATCTGTTTTTGACAAGCCCATGTTGGCTTCTGGTTATAACTTTGCTTGCTTCTAGGTGTTCACAGATCTTGATTATCTTTTCCAGGATCTTCCTAGGCATTGATGTCAAGCTGATTGGTCTGCAGTTACTTGAATCCAATTTTTCCTCTTTTGGAAGATGAGAAACACATCAGCTCTTTTCCAGTCCTCTGGTAGTTCCCCAGTGTTCCAGGATCTTTGAAAGATGTAGTTCAGTGGTTCCGAGATCACATATGCCAGTTCCTTCAGAGCTCTGGGATGTAATCCATCCTTAGAGGCCAGTCAAAGAATTGGAGACATGATATTTAATTGGCAATAAGAGTGATAGTGGTACATAGATATTATTTAGCATTACATACTTCCTCCATGAGGGGAATCAATCTGAGTGAGGTTTGAAATATTATCCATTATATTATCCATTCATTCTAATCTCTGATATGTTGGATAGTAAATTAGTTCTGACATACATTTATAAGGGAACTCCTAATGGATATCTAGGTTTATTTTCAATTTTTAAATGGTTTCTAGGCCTTAATGGAATGATTATCAGCTGGTTATCCGTGATCATATATATGGCTCTTCTCTTTCCATCCTGGTTTTTACAAGTACACAGAATAACTTTCTACATGGAGAACCATCAATATTGCATAGATATTCTTTTAAAAAAACTTTGGCTGAAGCTTTAGAGATGTTTGAGCTATGTGCTTGGCTTTAAAATGTAGAATTAACACACTTTTCTTGGGTGGCTCAAGTAGTGCTCCAAATCATGCCCATCTAACTATCACCGGTAGTCTAACACTTGCTAAACAGATACTAAAAAAACCACTTTTTAAAAAAATGAGAATATTTTAATACTCATATATGATAATAAACTTATAAAAGTTACAAGAATTGCAATGTGTGTGTGTGTATACAGTATTGCATTTTTTGTACTATGTGCATGATGCATCACAACTATTTGGAGGCTAGACCAAAAGGAAGAATTCAGTCAGTGTGTGACAACTCTCAGATCTCTTTTCACCATGAACCCTCCTTTCTTCATTTCTGTATTTTTGTTTCTTTCCTTCCTCTTATGTATGTTTAATGTTAGTGCATTGCCAGAGTGACATCCTGACACTTTCATCAGTATGTGCCTTTTCCTTCCCTTTTTCCTTCACAACTGTTCCAGACTGATCGCATAAATCCAGATGACATAGATTTAGAAAATGAACCCTGGTATAAGTTCTTTTCAGAACTGGAGTTTGGACGTCCGGTAAGTGAGGCTAGAATACTAATATATCAGTTTTAGGGATTTTGACCAATTCACACATTTCTAGTTAAAAAAATGCTTAGATTCTGAAAGTGCATCTATTCAAAATAGAATAATTACTGCAATTATATTTGAAGTATATGCTTTTTATGTTGCAGTTATCATATATACAGTAAATTTATGTAAATTCCATTGGTGAGGTGGAAAGAAACCTATAGGAATGCTTAAGAATAGTCAATAAAGTGGATCCCTAATAAACTCTTTTTTACGTGTTTGCTGATAGAGCTTTTTAAGTTGACAAGAAATTGATAATAATTATTTGGATTCAGTGTGTTTAAGCCATTTATAAAAAGCTAGACAAATGTACCCTGTATTATTAGCTTTCATCTAATTTAGATTAAACAGAATAATTATTACTATAAAGCAAAAAGTTATATGGCGCAAAAACATTGAAAGAGAATATTTCCTAACTGAAAAGAAACGTTTTGTTTTTGTTTTCTTTTTGTATTATCAAGCATCAGTCCTCTGCTCTGGCAATTTTTCTAAATATAAATAGAATACACAATGCCATCTGTGGATTTTGCAGCCTCCACAGCCATTTGGAATACTGTACAACTGCCTTCTGCTTCTGTAATGGCATTGCTGTTATGAGGTGTGATGGAAACTATTAGCACCACAAATGTGCAAGTTTTTGATGGAAGTTAATCATAAGCTGCCCAGGTTTGAGGGCAAAACTATGAAACAGCCCTGCTGCTAGAAGGCTAAATTCTGCATATCAGAATTTTTACCATACTGAACTTAGGTGCTCCTCAGGCCTATGGAAGATACCATAAGACCAGCTTTTGGTGACATTTTCAATAATGTCCAAAATAATGCCTACAATAACCAGACTATCTTGGATTTCGAAAGTTGTGGAATTTCTTCTTGTGATTTATAATCATAACACAAGAGAAACCCTCCATCATCCTTCAGTTTTTTTCCATCTATCACCAATGAATAATACAAGAATCTCACACAAATTTAGCTTTCTTGGTTTTAAAGAAAAAGAATTCAATCAGAACAACATGGAAAAATATGAAAGCTCACTTAGGAACCCTACCAAAAGAAATAAATGCCTGTTTCTCACAAATGAAAGATAACTGAAAAGGCATTAATGACTTGTCTTCCAGCAATGTCATTGTTAATTATCCACCAAAGAACCTTATTTCCCAAAAGCTACTGCTTCCTCTGCAACAACCATCTCAGTGGGACCTAGGAAAGCCAAACTAGACATTATGGTAAATTCAGCCTCTCCTGGAAATCATAGCAATGTTCTGCCTTGCACTTTTTTGTGTCCTCACTGATTACAATTACAAATCTATACCTGCCCACTTCATATAAATAGCTTCCATGTGTCAGGAAGATGATATCTGTACATTTACTTTGGCCTCTGGATCTCAGTGTATTTTGGACCCTAAATCCCCATCTCAATTTGCTATATTGAAGGAACTTTATTTTCTAGCAGCCTAATCTAACTATACTAGTGCTTGTTTCTGATCTTAAAGAGAGCTGTTTATTACAGTTCATTCTGTGACTTGAAATACAATCCATCATGAGTGCTTTCATTCCAAAGCCAACTTCTGTTCAGGTCTAACCCAGCGAAGAAGACAATCAGAATAGCAAAACTTGGATTGTATCCATAATTTCACAGAAAACATTAGCCTCATTCAAACCACAGCAGAGCCTCAAACAGGATTAGATCATTTTATTCTCTCTTTTTTTCTCCCATCATTCTTCCATCTTTCCCAATTGGGAAAGAGTTATATTTTCCTTTAGTTTTTTCACCTGCAGCTTTACTAACAACAGTGGAAGATTTATTAAAAACAATTGATTAACTACTATCACATATTCTTTATCCCAGACTGATCCTCTCATTTTGTTGCATTTTTACCACTCTTGTAATCTGTCAACACTCAGTTTCTAACTATGTCACTTCTCCACATGTTTCACTCCTTGCTGCCATTGATTCTCCTCCATTTCATCTCGCAATTCTACTTATATGATGCAGCCTCCTAAAAAGCTTTTGGATTATGTTCAAGACAATCCTCCAGGTTTTTCCAAAGAGGTAAATCAGCATGTTTCTTCAATAGATGGTTAAAATTTGGGGACAACATAAATATTGAATTTAATTACAGGATATTCTGTTCACTTGCATACTATCCTGCAAAACTCATTCAAATAATACAGTTATAACTTCATAATCCCATAAATATGAAATGTCTTTCAATGAAAACATCCTAACAATACTTTCCTTATTTATTTATTTACAGAACTTATATTATCATCTCATATAATAATACTAGATAGCTTGCAACGATCAATAAAAAGAAGAGCAAACTCCAAGCTAATCACAAGGCTTTGCCTAAGGCAGGGTTGTCAAACTGCCGGCCCACAGGCCGGATGCATCATGCACAGGGCATACCCACCCTGGCTATGCAAAGGCAAAAAAGTCACAATACGTCACGTGATGTGAGAGCAAGTTTGACACCCTTGGCCTAGGGAAACACTTTTTAACATAAAGAATATGACAGTTGCCTTGTTGAACAAGACAATTTGGGATCAAAAAAACTCATTCCCGTAACCATTTGACAATAAACATTGCTGCTGCACCAGGAGATGGGAAATGGGAGGAAAATGACAAATGATAGTTATTATTCTGCTATTTGAACAGTAAACTGATGGGAATTAGGAGAGTGAATTACTAATTCCAAAAAGGCTTAATATTGATTTAGGATCCAAAATCGATATTTAATGTGGGTTGCTCCTCGCCCTTCCCCCTGGCAATCTTGTTTTAGTTTATTTATATTGTTATTTTTGACCTTTTAAGCCTCCCAGAGTTATCCTGGATAGTCATAGAAATTTTAAAAAATTGAATAAATAGTTCAAGACCATTACATCTACAAAAAATAAAAACTTACTTAAATCCTGAACATCAGAACAAAGAAGTCAGCATTTCTCAAATCTTTATGGGTTTTTTTAAGTTTGGATGCTTTGATTATTATGTCATCAGTTTAACTTGTTCTGCTTAAAAACTCAACATTCTTAAAGCAGCAGAAACCAAATCAATTTTCTTTAATAATGCTACACAATTTCCTTTTGCTTACCAAGAAGTGAAAATAATAGATGTGTTAAGTCTCCAACTGGTTTCATATACCTGTAGAATAATAAAACCTTCAGCATAGATTTAGATAGTGAACAAACTCTTAAGCCATATTGGCCTTCTTTCAATGAGTTACTTCCTTATAGACTATGTTCTTTAGGCTCTCCAGCTGCGTGTCTGTAATTAACTAACAGAGCAAAACATGCACCTTTATTGAGTGGTTGAAGGAATTAAAAGCAATCTTCAGAATATATCTTTCTGCCATTTCCTATCCATGAAAATTTGCAACCTGATGATGCCCATTCTCTCTGCCTAAAACCAATCTTTTCTACTGGGCATCCCTCAAGCATTTCACAAAGATTTCCAAGAGGCTGGTGCTTATATAATAGGGCAATAGGGAAAAAATAATGACTTTCCATTTCAGTTTCTATCCCATTTAATACAAGCTTTTATCATATGGACTCTTTAGGTAAATTGCAGTCTTCAAAGAATGAAGATTCTCTATGTTAACAGGCCTAATAATATGCATAATAGTCTTTTTAATAAAGTACTAAGTTGAAATTATTTTCGTGAGTTCAGTCTTCTTAAAGGTTTGTGCCCAAATTCTTTAATAGTTGATTTTGCCTTGTTAAAGGTTTATTATATATATTATATATTTCTGAAATCCCAGTCTGGCCAATATTTATCTGAATGCTACAATTTGAATACAGAATCACATTTTCATACAGGTGTCCCTCAGCTTACAATCACAATTGGGACCAGAACTACTGCTGTTGCTAACTGATGCAGTTGTTAAGTAAGTCAACCTGTGACTGCACCCAATTTTAAAACCATTTTTGTTGTAATTGTGAAGCACATCACCATAGTTCTTAAGCAAATCATGCAGTCATTAAATGAATCTGGTTTTCCCCATTGGCTTTGCTTTTTTGTAACCCCAGGATGCTGCAACTGTTATAAGCCGCCCGGGGTCACTGTATGACTGGGAGGGGCAGCACAAAAAATTAATAAATAAATAAATCTGGTTACCCAAATTGTGCCCAAATTGTGGTTATGTGACTGGGAATGCTGTGATGGTCATGTGTGTGAGGACTGGTTGCAAGTTGTTTTTTTCAGAGTCATAAGAACTTTGATAATTAAACAAATGATCATAGGTTGAGGACTATCTGTGCATCTTCTACAAATACCATTTGCAGAGTAATGCTGAGTAAAGTCCAAACTAGAGCCAACCTGATAGGCAAAGGATACTGCCAGTTCAAGTGGCAGAGGTTAATTTGCAGGCTCCTAAACGTTCCTTTTCAATAGAAAGAGGGATTCTTACATCCTTAAACTTGCCTGCCTTAGATGCAATAATGGACATTCTGCTAACCCAAGCATTTGTCTGTCTGTACTACTTCTAAAGGTAATATATTAAAATCACCTTTGCCTCACACAAAGTGACCTAAACTACCCCAAGAAGAAATAATATTTGATGGGAAATTAAATTTGTATGTCAAGAAATAACGAGGTTAAGGGTTTGTTTTTGAATATCAACATGGGTTCTGTACCTAGGAAAGAACTGTAGCTCAGTTCTAGAGTGCAAGTTTTGTACTAAGAAGTTTAATTCTTGGCTCCTCCAATTAATAGGAGCAGGTAACACGTGATGGGAGGGGAAGCAGCCTGGAGAATTATTGTTAGCCCCAGAGGACAAGATCAGAATACAGTTCATCAACTTTCAAAGTAAAATTCCAGTGGTTTTCTGCACAAATGCAATGTAATACTGGTAGGAGGTTGTAATGCAATTCAAAACAATGTTTTTTTATATTCTTTTTCCCACAATGCTTTTGCTTTTCCAAAAAGATCAGTAATTCAGAGTATGTAATTGCAACTGCAGTTTCTCAAGTCATCTCTGAAATTTCATGACCTGAATATAAAATAAATGTACTATTAATTGGACAGGTGATTTATGTATTTGATAAGCTGTACCTGGGATGAGGTTCTTCTTTTTCCAACTCCTGCTGGTTATACAGGTAGTCCTCATTTAATAGTGTCAATTAGGATCAGGAGCTCCATCGCTATGCAATATGGTTGTAAAGTGTGACATCACATGACTGCAGCAACTTACAATGGCATTTGGGGTAATTCCAGTTGTGGTTGTTAAACAAATCCCACATGGTCATTAGGTGTGACATCTTGAGATTCCCAATTGCAGCCTCCTGTTAGCTTCCCTGTTGACTTTGTTTATAAAGATGCTGGCAGTGAAGATCACAAATGACGATCATGTGACCATGGGATGTTGTAATTACGAGTCAAGTGCCAAGAGCCAGTTGCCAAATCACGATTGCCTGAATGAAGGGATGCTGCAGCAGCCGCAACCACAAGGACCAGTCATAAGTCTCTTCATCTCATCATAACTGCAACAAGTTGCTGAATTAAACTACCTCTAGTAATATATATGTCTATTTCCAGCTCAAGCCTTAAGATCTGCTAAGATACTAAATTAAAAATAGTTGTTGTTAAACTTTGAATTTATATTGACAAGTTTAAAGTATTTGTATTCTCAAATAATCACTTTAATATTACTCCTGTGCCAAAACAAAATCTTTATGTTGGGATGACCAAACTGTGTGCTTAACATGAAGTTTAAAAAGTCAGCAAATGGCAGTGTATGCTATACAGTAGGTGTTTAAGCTATGCTTACAGAGAATTTCCACCTTGATTTGATTTTAATATTGTGGCAAGTAATACCTCTTGATTTTTAATTACTTTTTTTCATTGTTGCAGTTTGCAATATTCAGTCAATATAAGGATATAAGATTTAATTTGAGAAACTAATGGAAAAAAATACTGAAGAAATTATCTCCAATACTAAAAACAGCATTTGAAATTAGTTCAAAAGCTACACAACTTTTAATTATATTGTTAATAATACTAATGATTGTGAGAGTCTTCAATCAATCAATATAATGTTTTGTTGTGAATATTTTTGAAATTCAATTTAAGATGCTTGCTTATTTCTGCAGACATCTTTATACTACAGTCCAACAGACAGACACGTGGATAGACCTTCTAGGTAAGAAAAATCAAATCTATAAATACAAGTAGAAAGGAGGAAGCTCCTTCAAATTATGAAAAAAACTCTTGCTTATCCTTAGTACAGTTCTTGATTATATGCTTGGATTTCTTTTCCTACATAAAGATAATTAAATATCCCTTTTTAGATTTAAGCACAGTATCGATTGAAGTTTTCCTGCAAATATTTTCTCCTTTACAGCTCCTGTAATTTCCTTGTGCCATTTTCTCCTTGAATTAAGCATAATTTGTCCGTATGTGCTACATACAGCAGTATTTTTCAACCTTATCAACTTCTAGACATGTAGACTTCAACTCCCCAAATTCCCCAACCAGTCTTAAAGTAGCAATATGAATCTTAATTTGCTTCTTTATGTAAATGTGTCATCATATATCTTCCACACATACCACCTAGCCGTACAAAATTAAAACAAAAAAGCAAATTTTCTCAACCAGCCAGAGATGGTAGTATAGTAGTTAAGTCCAATGGATCTCCCAGAATTAATGGGATTTTGCTTTAATTTTTAATAACAAAAAGTTAACAAGAAAAGGTATTCAAAGTAAAGACTTTGTGCAGGAATTTATGGTCAGTGTAACATTCCAGGTTTTAGAAATGTCAAACTAGAAATAAAAAGCTACAATTAAATACACCTATAAATTATGATGGTAATGTATTTGTATGAACTTGAATGCAACTAAATGTCATTAATCAAGATATATATTTTGATGCAGCCTTTTTCAACCTGTTATCTTGCAAATATGTTAGGATTATAACTCACAGTTCCAGGAATCTTGGTCTTTTCATTTGTGCGTGTATGGAGGTGTAAAGCAGAATAAAGTAAAATATGATAACATTCAGAAATCCTAATTTATAATCCAGGTAAATTGGTAGAAAGGGTTCAAATGTATAAAAGAGATTTATGAATCCATATTAACTTTGATTTTCTCAGTTCAAGGGAGGGAGGGAGGGAAGGAAAAGGAAGGAAGGAAGGAAGGAAGGAAGGAAGGAAGGAAGGAAGGAAGGAAGGAAGGAAGGAAGGAAGGAAGGAAGGAAGGAAGGAAGGAAGGAGTATATGTAGCTGTAGAAAAAATATTCATGTCACACTTTGGATGTATTATTTTTCTACAAACACATACCCATGTTGACCTAAAGCAGGCAAAATCCATAATTATGGTTTAAGAAGGTACTATTCTTCCATCTTTCTCAAATGCCATATTTTTTTTAATTGTCTGACAGAGGAAAGTATAGAACTTCTACATATAAAATGCCATTTATCTCTGCTGTCAATGACCATATGTTTTTATATTGGTCTGGCTGAAATGATTTTCTAGTGTTGCTTTGAAATAAAGTATTATATATACATATATATACTGATTTTAAATGTTTTATATGTTCCATTTTTATTTTAAACAGTGGCATAAACATTTTTATATAACCAAATAGGATAGTTAAACTGTGGAGTAATAGCTAAATTTTCTGTCTCAACATAGCTTTGTCTTAGGATTTTGTTACCCTTCTACCCTTACTGTTTATTATTTTAAAATAATATTGCAACAGAACAAATGTTGCATTTTTGTATTCTTGAATGGGTGTTGTAGTTTTGGAAATTGTAGAGAAGATTTCCAAGTGGACATGAATAAGACATCAAGATACACTACTTGGCCACCTCATAAGGAAAGCAAATAATAGAACCTTTCCCTTCGTCCCAAACAATCTGACAAACATGTTATTTCCATTAGGGGGGAAAATTAAAACAAGGTAGAAGAAAAAAGAAGGGAAAACATTTTAATGCAGCATTGGTTCTTGGCATCTAGTATATGTGAAATTTTTGACATAGCTAAATGTCTTATTTAATTTGACTTTAAGTATTGGTACTGTGAGGGTGCGATGGCTCAGCAGTTAAAGACACTGAGCTTGTCAACTGGAAAACTGACAGCCCAGGTTTGAGACCACCATGGTAGCGCAGTGGTTAGAATGCAGCATAATTCTGCCAACTGCTAGGAATTTGATCCTGACTAACACAAAGTTGACTCAGCCTTCCACCCTTCCAAGGTCAGTAAATTGAGAACCCAGATTGTGGGGGGCAATATGCTGACTTTGTAAACCACTTAGGAAGGGCTGTAAAGCACTATGAAGCAGTATATAAGTCTGAGTGCTATTATTATTGTCACGCAACGGGGTGAGCTCCCATTCCTTGCCCCAGTCCCTGCCTACCTAGCAGTTTGAAAGCATGCAAATGTGAGTAGAGTAATAGGTACCACTTTGGTGGAAAGGTAAGAGCGTTCGATGCACCTTTAGCATATAGCCATGCTGGCCACATGACCACGGAAAATGTCTTTGGACAACACTGGCTCCCTTGGCCAAGAAATGGAGATAAGCGCCTCACCCTAGAATCAGACACAACTGGATAGGGAAGCCTTTGCCTTTTTATTGGTACTGTATCCAGTTATGCTAGCAGTGGTTAATGAGCTTAACTATTTGCTGACTTCTAAGGAGACATTTTAGACATGTCTTACTACATTATTATTTTCTTTCCCAGTTCTGCAAGTACTTCAAGTGATTACAGAAAACGAAGGAAGTCAGAGCCTACAGTAACTCAGCAGAAAGTCCACCCTGATCAGAATGTAAATCGATACACTCTTGGTCGTACAGATACGCAGAGCACCTATTCAACCCTTAGGAAGCCTGTTACAACCTCTTCTCCATCTTCTCCATCAAGAGCAAAAGGTAATAAATGAGCACAAACATAAATAAACAGGAATAATTGTTCATGAATTCCAAAACAATGTGGATGGATTTCAAATGCTGCTAGACAATCAAAATTCACCAATCCAATTTGCATAGAAGGAATAGAAATCCAGTATTTGCATTCATATTAATCTCCTAATGTGATATGTCAGAAAGTCATCATATGAAGACTTTTGTAGCCTTTTCTTTTTTAAAAAAAACTGATTAAAATCTTTATAAAAAAAAACTTTGAAGTTGATTCATCAGACAAGGAAAAGACAGGGATTGGTAGCATTTTCTTCCCAGATATAATATTATCTTTTAAAATGTGGTTGTCATACATCACTAATCAAGACATAAATCATAAGCATAAATCTGTCCAAATGAAATGCAATCTGCATATCTCTTAATGTTCGATAAATGAATTGTCCCTTTTTAATAACTGAATAGGAAACTGAATTATTGTTTTAGCAAACATTTATGGGGAGTGAAGTTTTAATGCAGGTTTTCTATCTCTGCATTCAATAAGAGCTTTTTTTCTGCCATATTCCATTTCTGCAATTCTTCCCTGTTTCATACAGGTGCTAATATTTCCTGTTTATTATTACTGTATAGCAGCTGAAGTATTTCGTATGATGGCTCCCAGCTCTGCAATGCCACCATAATGATTCAAAATTTTACATTGAAAAGGCAGCCATGTACCATTTACCCAATTGGAATATGACTTTTTTTCCCCACAAATAATAACTCAGGGATGTCTGCAGGATATGATTTTTTAAAAAACCAAGATAACTGTAACAGTACAATTGAAGCTCCATCTGGATTTTTAGGCGTGTCACTTAATTTTGCCTCACCACAAGTTGCCTTCTTGACTTTTTGGACCAGGCACTGTGGACATTCCAATAATTAACTATGAGTTGGGGAAGGGAGAATAAAGATTATCTTAGAGTTGCTAAGAAGAACAGACAAGAGTATTGAATATAACAAATGGGTGAAGAATAGTCACTGTGTGGAGAGGCTGTTTGCCTGTGAAGTTAGTCTTTCTTGTAATACCTAAAATAAACTCCTTTATTTTTTTCTTACTGTCCTTATTATGTACTTTTACTTGTCCCAATTTCATTCAGCTATCCTTCCCTTTAATTCATTTATATTCTATTTTTTGCCTTTCCTTCCTATTTCCTCTTTTTTTTCTTTTTTGCTATTTATGTTGGAAAGAGGAGAAGGTTGTAGATATACACTCATGTACACTTTATGGTAAAAGAAGAAACAGAAGAAACAGTTGCAATATGTATATGAAGGGTCCGTTAATTTTATAAATCGGGTCTTTGGATATAATATTCAGTCAAATATAAATTTAGCTTTATTGCTCTGGATCAGCCTTTTTTGGAGTGTAGCTTCTGGCAGATATCTGTATACATATGCCTAAGGGTGTATGCATGTGTGTGCACGCATGTGTGCATGTTCAGGAATTTGTATACAGGTGTGTCATTTGCATTCATTATTGGAGCAATCTCCAATATAGGTTTCAACCAAAGTTGACAACCCTTGATTGAAAAAGTGGAAAAGCTGGGCATTGCACATGATTTTTGTATGTATTTATGATTCTTTTTTAAGAAAACTTCTCTACCCTTGAATTATCTTCCTTTTGGGTTAAAGTGGTAGATGGTTCTTCTCTGAATTAAAAAAAAAAAATTCCTTTTCACCCCTAGAGGTAAAATTTCAGGTTCTTTACCGCGGGCTTGGGAGTTTGATCCTTCTGCCCAGTATCTTAGCTCTTACTAGCACTGCACTCTTCTGGACAGAGAGCTCTAACGTCATTCCTGGGATCTGTTGGAGTCACCCTCCCAGCTTAGGAGTCATAGCCCCAAGTCCTTCCTTCCTCCTATTCCTACCTATTGGTGGTACTGTAGGAATATATGCAAGTAGACCTTGAATTATAACCATTCATTTAGTGACCATTTGAAGTTAATGGTACTGGTAATGGTACTGAATGATACTGAAAAAAGTGACTTACTGTATGACCAGTTTTCATTATGACCATTGCAGCATCCCCATGGTCACATGATAAAAAATTTGGGCACTTGGCAGCCAGCATGTATTTATGACAGTGGACTGTCCTGGGGTCATGTGATCACCATTTGTTACCTTCCCAGTTGGTTTCTGACAAGCAAAGCTAATGGGAGAATCTGGATTCACTTACAACTGCAGTTATTCTCTTAACAATTATGGCAAAAAAGGTGGCGGTTCACTTAACAACTGCCTTGCTTAGAAATGGAAATTTTGGCCTGAGTTGTAATCGTAAGTCGAGGAATATGTATGTGTGTGTGTGTGTATACACACACATACACGCACACGCACACACACACACACACATAAATATCATATAGTTAATATCTCAATGTCCCAATATCTTCCACTGAAAATCAGGAGCCTCTGCATTTTCTGCTTTAATGTTTATCATTGTTAACAGGGTTTATTTGTGTAAGTGTTACTACTTATTTATATAAAAAGCAGTCTAAAATCCGAGGCATTTAAAATACTTTCTTCTAATGATTATTTAACTGCAGGTCAATTTAACGTTTAATATACAGTATTTCTAGTTTTAATACTTTGGGGTACAGAATTAGTAATCAGTATTAGTACTTGGCTAATTGTTTGTATATATTTGTAACATTTTCTATACCGTATTGTAGAATCTCAGTGTTAATGCTTGGGCAAATAGCAATTCTGTTTCGTTCCGTTCTGCTGGAAACAATCTAATCCAGGCAATGGGTTCTAGAAAATTATGGATAAAGTGACTTAGTTTTGCTTTTTCCCAAATTGATGACCTTCAGATCTGTTGAACTACAACACCCATCATTCCCATTGTTACCAAAATTGTATTCCAGCATATTGCTTCTCATTTAACTGTTTTCCCTCTAAATCCATTGATTAAAGTTTTTGGCTTAAAAACTTCCCCATTGTTCACTCTGTTAAATTATAAATATCACCAATACAAGAGAATAACCAGAGGAAGAACAGAGAAACAAAAACTTGGGGGGGGGACAGAGAGAGAGGTGGAGAAAAAAGGAAAAACTTGTTTTTAAATTGGAAAAACTCTAAAGGGATCTAAGGTTACTATAGGCTATCGGTTTTCTAAATTGTTCCGAGTCTTTCCAAGTAGGCAATACAGCTATACCCAGGTTTCTATTGGGCTATTTTTTAATGTATAATTTTACACAATCAAAAGATAAACAAGAAAATATATAAAAGGAAAGTAGAAAAATGAAGAAGATAAAAGAAAAGGTACTGGAAATAATAAAAAGAAGAAAGAAAGAAAGAAAGAAAGAAAGAAAGAAAGAAAGAAAGAAAGAAAGAAAGAAAGAAAGAAAGAAGGAGGGAGGGAGGGAGGGAGGGAGGGAGGGAGGGAGGGAGGGAGGGAAGGAAGGAAGGAAGGAAGGAAGGAAGGAAGGAAGGAAGGGAGGAGAAAATTTTAAATGTGGTTTCCAATCTTCTATACAGTAGTTACAAACAAACTTCTACTAATTCTTCCCCCATTAGAGTTACATTATATAGTTCCATTTTCCTCACATTTGACCCTTTTTAATCAGCCAATCCAGAAATTAATTTTTATTTTCATTTTATCCATTTTCAGCAATTATTGGGTTGTTTTTTAATTTTCATTTTATTGCCTGGACTAGATTTTTGAACAGGAGATACAGGGTGTTTTTTTTTTATTTAACTTACAAAGATGGTAATGTATGTGCACAGTTTTACAGTACGACAGAGAGTCTAGGTGAGAAAAGGTACCCAGTTTGCCATTTAAAAACTTTAAAGATATATATAGAAGCCTTCAATTATTAAATAACTTTCTATATTAATAGTGTAATTCAAAGTTAGCTTAATGGTTATTGTATATTTTAGATATGCATATTATGTTAGGAAAATCAAAGTGATTCCCCACACCTGGTTTCTTTCTGACATATAATAATTGTTATTTTCTTGTCTACATTTGAATCTGTTAATTTCTGGCAATGTCTCTTTTTCACCATGCTGCTCTGTGGATTATAAAGGTGGGGATATTAGCAAAACATATTCATCCCTTTCCAGTTATTCAGTCCCCAACCAGAACACCTCAAATGATTTAGATTATAGTAAAAATTATGGGCAGAGACTAGCAGTTCCAGGTGATTCAAGAAGAGCCATCAGTTACAAGAATGGCTGGCAAATGGCCCGTCAGAATGCAGAAGTATGGAGCAGCACTGAAGAGACTTCCTCTCCCAAACGCAAATCTCGCAGCTACAATGACCTACTAGCTGATGATCATTGTTGCTTCTCTGATACACAGAATAAATCTGAAAGTATGGTGTCTCTGTTGTGTGCAGACAATTCCAAAGGTGATTCTTCCCTAACCTGGGCTTCCCCATATTCCTCTGAAACTCGTGGTTCCAATCGGTCAAGGGCACATCTTAGATCTGCCCATGATGCTCCTGGATTTCTAAAAATGTACAAAAGAATGCATCGCATCAACCGCAAAGACTTACTTAATTCCGAGGTTATCTGTTCTGTAAAATCCAGAGTACTGCAGTATGAAAAGGAACAGCATAAGAGCTTACTACATGGTTGGAAAGAATCCTCCACAGAGGAGGTACCAAGGGACATGGTGCCCAATAGAATATCTGAATTTGAAAAACTAATTCAGAAATCTAAATCAATGCCAAATTTAAGGGAAGAAGCATTATCAACTGTAAGCCTGCTGGAACCCCCTAAAAATGGCTTTTGTACAATGAGACGGTTTTCTATTGAATCCTTGCTGGATGAAGAAAATCAGAATAGGCACAGTACTCAAATCCAAAGGAATTACAAGTCCAAAACTCTGGTGCCAATTCACATTGAAGTAACTAGCGAGGAACCACAAAGATTTCAGACGGACTATTCAGACAGTGACCAAGATGGAGTGGTCTCTGACATGAGTGACTTCATACAGATAGAAGGCTCATCTTTTTGCAGTGAAAGTGATTTTGATCACTTCTCCTTCACATCCTCAGAAAGCTTTTATGGATCAGGCCATCACCATCATCACAAGCATCTTATCAGCTCCTGCAAAGGAAGATGTCCAGCCTCATACACACGCTTCACCACCATGCTGAAGCATGCAAGGGCTAAACAGGAAACTACCCCAGAAGATCCTAAGCGACAAGATTCCGATGCTGGCCTCTCTAAAATAGCCTTCCTAGTCAGCCCAGTGCCTTTCCGGAGGAAAAAAAATACACTCCCCCAAAAGCAGGCTGAAAAGACTAAATGCAAATCATCTGTCTTTGACGCCCTGGACTCCGCTCTTAAAGATATCTGTGACCAAATCAAAGCAGAAAAAAGAAGGGGAAGCTTGCCTGACAATAGTATATTGCACAGACTTATTTCTGAATTGCTTCCAGACATTCCTGAAAGGAATTCTTCCCTTAAAGTTTTTAGAAAAAGTCCCATACTCCAGCCTTTGCATCCACTGCCTCACGATGGTGCTATTCACTGTCCGTTGTACCAGAATGAATGCAGAAGTTTGCCTCTCAGTGCCTCTTATCAAGAGATGGATGCTACCAACAGCAACAACCAGGAATATGATAATGCACTGTGTTTCCAAGGTGGATTACTTCCTTTTCTTTATGCTTGTGTTTGAGTCATTCACCCTTATCCTTTCTAGTTTGTTCCCATTACATTTGTGTTGTGCACCTTATACAGCTTAAAAATTGTCTGTTGTTCAGTAAGTCATAGGACTGGGGGGGAAAAGGTGAGGACAATAACAGTGTACAAAGTTGTGTTTTTCAGACCAGCCAACAAAAGGGAAAAGTAGCCTTTTGTTGTTAGCATTTGAATAGTTACTGAAATAAGAGAGCAGTGATTCATAATGAAACTTAGTATCACACAGTGAAAAAAGTCTCAGTTGGTGTAATTTTCATATCAATAATTTTTGGGAAAAAGTACAAAGATTTCCTAATAAAATATATGGTCACCTGATTATAAGAAAGTACAAGATGAAATAATAAGGAAAGAAGCACTTGTTCTAAAATTATTTCCATCTAAGTTCACAAAATAGTTCAGCTATGTAGAAACATAATTATGGCTGTGTGAACTGAATGTTTGGCTCACTAATGATGGAAGGAACATTAAAATCTACTAATTTTAAAATGGCTACATTTAATATTGAGAAGGACAAGTCCCACAGGATAAAACCAAGGAAAGAAGTATTACAGTTCCAATTTCATCTACTTAACTAAAGTTTATGTTTCAATAAAAATAATAATAACTAGCAAATGATCTCCAGTAATAGTATAGAATATTTAAACATTCAACTCGGTCGTGGTCTCCTCTGCCTATAGCTTTATAGCTCAGCTATCAGCAGCAAGAGAAAGCCATGGCTCCTCTGCTACCCCTCACATCTTCTCCAGTGATGCTGAGATCAGAAGTATTCCTCTTCTAAATGAAATTTCCTGTGACACTAAGTTTGGGGGTAAATCTGCTTATTTTAAACCAGTTATGAGCAACATAAAAACAGTGGTTGCTGAACCATAGCTCTGAGCTGATTCCACTGGCATTATAGTTTCACAACATCAGTAAAGTCACATATTACCTCTCATTTAAAATAAACCAGGATCCAAGTATAGTTTATACTCTTAGCTGATTGGTAAACCAATACTGCTTTACCCTAGCTAGAGTTCACGTAGTTATCTACTACTTGATTGGCTTAAAATGAGTGTGCCAGTCTCCTTTGTCCAGAGGGAGGATAAAGAAAGGAGAAAATCTGAGTCCAAATCTCAGGGTGCTTTTGCACCTACCATTATTGTACACCATCCAGCATCACTTCTTGCGATATGGACAGCCATATAAATTTGGTAAATAAACCAACAACTGGAATTGTTGTGCAAAAATGGGTCCAAGAAGCTTATGGTTCTTCTTGCTCCACGTAAATATAATAAATTGGTCATATTATTTAGATATCAAGGTTTAGATGTATGCAGTTTCTACAATTTCTTACATGCAGTAGTAATTTCTGACATGAGAGGTATCGCTAACAGAAATTGCACTTGAAGCTATTTGTTAAAGTCCACACATCTTAAAGTTACCAAGTTTGATAAATTCTGGCTTAGGGTACCATAAATATAAAGTTATTTGAAACTAATAAATAGAATAATTATTTCTTATCGAGGATTTCTATAAAAATGAAGTGCAGACCTTACAAAGCTGCTTAAAAAGTGTTAATGAACTACATTATTTTTTTCTTCGTGTTAATATACTTACATAGGTATTTTCAACTTGTCATATACTAATATTAAATATGTTTACTCAGTAATCAATCTACTGAATTTAATAGGCCTTTTCTCTAATAAACTTTGGGATCGTGCTGAAAGGGTGCAATCCTATTTCATGGACATTTCTATATAAACAATTGGGTTTTATGAGCTAGAAATATGGAATTCTAGATGTCACTTAATCTGGAAAGCAGATATTTGTTTCATCTGTGATTATTTTACAAAAAATAGCAGGAGCAGTTCTTCAGACTAACAGCATGGTATGCTAGAGGTTTTTGTCCTTCCCTCTTTTCAGGGAAAATAGCCTCCAAGGCCTTTTTTCCCAAAGTTTCCTTACATCTTTGGCAAAAATGGCAGCAAAGATAACAGAAAAATAACAGCACTGTACTCCTAATCTTGAGACCACCTTTTCATATCTACTTGTTCTAAAATAAGCTCAGAATACACAGTAATATGGCAAATGCATAATCTAATCTGGTCTAACATAAAACAGTCATACATTTCTTTTCTACTGGATCACCTCAGAATTTCATTATTCCATCATTGTGGCATGCTTTTGACGCATCCCCTTGCATGTGGGTACATGTTTATTAGCTTTATGAGTCAATGCTATGTGTTACCTTTTGCATCTTCAGTAACCTATTCTTCTGTTCCTCTAAAAGCAAGAGTTGTAATAATCAGAGAAGATGCTATATTGCTGGTCTTGGTTTTTCTTTTTAATGCTTCAGGCACAGTTCAAAATTGTATAAGTAGTATATGAAATAATTCCCATAGCTTCCTTTCTAGACTTCTGTTTATCAGGGTTTTTTTAATTTGTTGTTACATTAGTTTAATTAACATAAATTTAGATGTAGTTTCCTTTGAAATAAATTTCCACAATTATTTTTCATGAATTTTCAACCAATGGCATTTTACTTTCAATAGACCAGGAATCTCCTGGAAACTATTCTTCTGCTTTCACTGATGTGAGTCGATGTATTCCAAAGGAAAGAAGAGGAACTCCAGACAGAGAGGTAATGCAGGAAAATGTACTTAAACAAACATGTTTGAAGCCAGCAATATATTTCTAAAAACACCTGGAGACCTTTAAAAGCATTTATTGCACAGCTTCTTGGCAATGCTGTCTTTCATCACCAGGGGTTATAAAACAATGCAGTTGGAATAGAAAGAGAAGCAGAGCATGGACTACAATTAGGGCATTTCTGCACAAGTACTTTGTACCAGTGCAGGACTGGTTCCAATCCTGATTGATCTCATCTATCTTGAGCCATTGAATCAATGAATTTCTAAATTTAAAGTTGCAGCAAAACTGGTATTTTCTTTTTTTGTTCCTGGTGGTTCTGCAGCCTTTATGAGCTTTTCACTTCCTCATTGTTGGCAATGAGGAACTTCTCTAATGTGTTCCCTAGAGGTTTGGCATCTTGCTCTTGGAGGTTTCTTTGTCATATGTACTGATTAGAACTCTTTCCCTTTTCCCTTCCTCCAGTCCAGCCATTATAGTATCATGCAGTTGTTGGGATTGATGATCTAAATTGCCAAGCTGCTTGTATTTTCATCTCACGGGGCTTTAAGGAGGAACAAATGAATGGTGGCAAGTTAGCCAGGAAGTCTTTGGTGGGTTTCAGTTCCTTTGCTTTTTTTTACAGTTGATTAGACTGGCTTATGATGAGTTGTATATGTCTTCTGCATTCTGAAGTCAGGAAAAGTAAAGATAATTGCAGATTGCTTTCAAATTCCTTTGTGAGGGATTGGAGGGCAGAAAAAGTATGCAGTGGAACTACAGATGAAAGAAGCAACAACTAAAATTGCAACATCTGTTTAACAAGCAATAAATGTCAGCATATTTGTGGGCCTGCCAAGAAGTACACAATGCTCAGAAAAGAGATTAAATCGCAATGAAAGCAGTTTGCCTAAATAAATGTCTCCTTTCTAGGATGCTAATCCCATCTCCCTTTGTTGATGCTGCTCCCTGGGCCTTTACTATCTAGAAATAGGGAAAGGTGGAGTCAGTGAATCTCAGGCCTTCTCTCTGAATTTCTGATCCTTCTGCTGGGAAAGCAGAAATACTGAATACCTCCGTTTACAAAATAAACTCAATATTTTAACAATATTTGAAATTCAAATGTAGGCCTGTAAACCCCCCTGCAGAGAATCATTAATATTTTTGAGCAATGTGTTTAATTTTATTATAGTTATATTAAAACTATACTCCTGTAAAGGATATCCTAAAACAATTTCATTTTATATATTGTGTAACATACCAATAAATTGGGACCAAATATTAATTAGTAAATATTGCTGCTAGCTGAGGTAGTACTTCCTCTTCCCTGCTACCATAAAAGCAGGTTATCTAAGATTACACAGAGGCATCATGAAGTAGAGCCACCCCGCAACAGGTACCTAAAATGCAAACATGGGCATCACATGAAGCATATATCCCAGTTTTTGGCTACACCAGAGGGACATTATTTTAGATACATGTTATTTAGATTAATTTCTTTGCCTCTGTTTCAGAGACTGCCAGCTAGAGCAGTATATGACTTTAAGGCTCAAACTTCTAAGTAAGTATTAGTCCCTTTTTTAACCCAAAAAATCATAATGAATCTTTAAAAAATGTTTATAGGTAGAAAAGAATATGTACAATAACATTACAATCAATACAAATGACTCTCTATTTCATACATACTTAAACTAATGTTTTACTATTTAAGCATTCTGCAACATTCAGATATTCAATAATTTAAGAAGTAGTGTCCACTGTATTTAACTAAAGTATAACATTTAGTTAAATGTACAGCAACATTTAATGCATAAGAGCATAGCGCATACTTAAAATAATAGTTTTTAAAATTGTAGTTGTTTTGTTTTATTTACCATAGAGGGAATAAATTTGAGTGAAATAAAATTGTACATGTTGTTAATGTATGATTTGAATATGCAATGTTGATTTACTTTCACTTTTGAACATTCTCACCAATATCGTTTTTATTATGCTATTTATGCCATTTTATCAGCATTAAAATAGACAAAATTGCTTTTAGAGTGGATGTCTATAGTGTTATAAAAAAAAAACCAATCTCTTTAAGACTGCCAAAGTCCAGCCTTTCTTAAAGCTGGCAAAGTCAGGACAATTTAAATTTTAGAGTGGAATGGAAAGGTGGGATTTCATATGCCACTTGTGCTAATACATTCTGAACCAGTAGCTTCCAAGTGGTTTTCAAGGATAGCCTCCTAATGTTGCAAAAATCCTGATAAGAGTGGTTAAGGCATGAATGAGCATGAGCAATCAAGCAGAAATGGTTACAATTAGCAAGATGAATTTGTACAACAAGCCTCCTAAGTGGGCCAGTCCTAATTCCCTCCCCTATTTTACAGGTAGTCCTTGAGTTACAATAGTTCATTTAGTGACTGTTGAAAGTTACAATAGCACTGAAAAAGTGACCATTTTTCACACTTACAACTGTTATAACAGCCCCATGGTCATATCATCAAATTTCAGACACTTGGCAACTGACTCATATTTATGACCGCTACAATGTCCTGGGGTCATGTGATCACCTTTTGTGACCTTCTGACAAGCAAAATCAATGGGAAAACAGGATTCAATTAACAATCATGTTTCTAACTTAACAACTGTGACAAGAAGGGTTATAAAATGGGCAAAATTCACTTAATAACTGTCTCACTTAGCAACAGAAATTTTGGGATCAATTGTGGTCAAGGACTGCTTGGATTTTGATGAATCTTCTGCCATTTGTTTTCCTTCTCCCTTATCTTTTTATGGTTCTTCCCAAAAAATATACAAAAAGTACCCAATCATTGTAAAGAACTTTGCAAGATAATGAGGTTATATCTAAAAGTGTAACAATAAATGTGTGTATTGAAATGTACATTTGTGTTCTTTGTTAACATCCTTGAACATATTTGAGAAATACATAAATATTTTTTAATGTGTGGCAGAAGCAGTACAGGGTTGCCATTAACCAAAAGTTTCAATTCATACACAATTGAGGAAACAAGGAGTGTAACATAGAAAAATTGAAGAATAAATGGCTTTATTCAAGTGGACAATCATTTTAATTTCTTGGTAAAACACATCCTCAAATCTAATTATTATTGTCATAGTCCAGCATAAAATGTGTCCTTTCCATCCACTTTGTGATTTCATAGTGCTTTCATCTGAAATCTGTATCCCATCCTATTCACAGAATGCTTCAGTAGGTCACATTAGGTTGAGTTTTCCTTCTAAAAAATTAGCTGTTCTACTTCTTATGCCAATTTATTTGCACCTCTGATTGTCTTGTAACAGTGGTAGCGGTGACAAAAAAGAATTAGGGAACTGACACAGAGAGAACTAAAGGAAAAAGTCTTTGGTCCTAGATAGAAACACCTATGTTTATCTGTTCATTCTTAACCATTGTCAAGCATTATCTGAATTAACATGGTGATCACAAGATAGAATGTAAAACCATGCTTAAGAAAAACAAAGATAGCTAGATGTTATTTCTTCAGAGGACCAAAGCAGTTCAATATTTCATTTACTACACTACAAGTCTGTCACTTGCAAATTACAGTCTAAAGCAGTAAATGTCTTGTTTACAAAAAGACAAAGCTACTTTTCTATAATAAACCAAAGTTTCTTTTGTATTTGAGATATTAATCAACATTAAATCAGTAAAGTATTCAAGAAAAAGATAGTAAGCTTTTGTGTTTATGGCTGACCTCATTACCAAATATAGTTTCCAACTGCTAGATAGACTTGGTTCTTTTGTTGTTGTTGTTGTTATTTAAAATGATAAACAATTAATATTCAATTCAAAATAGTTACTAGGATGTCAAATCTGTATCATTGTTTATAAATGTTTGTTACAGAGAGCTGCCTTTTAAGAAAGGAGACACTGTCTATATCCTCAGGAAAGTGGATCAAAACTGGTATGAGGGCGAACACTATGGAAGAGTTGGGATTTTTCCTATTTCTTATGTTGAGGTTTGTCTTTACACCAGCAATCTGATGCACTGAGTTTTACAAATAGATACACAGATTGGAAAGGTTGATTAAAATAACCACCATTCTCTCTTCAGAAACTTATTCCCCCAGAAAAAGCACAGCCAGCAAGACCGCCACCTCCAGCACATGTGGCCGAGATTGGAGAAGCTATTGCAAAATATAATTTCAATGCAGATACAAATGTGGAACTTTCATTGAGAAAGGTATTTGCTAAAATTGGGTGTTACACCAAGTTTGACAAAGATTCTTTGTTAAGAGGCTTATTCACTCAAGTATATATTACCCAGAGCTATATTGTGATTATAAGTTAGGCTGCTACATCTGTCTGCTGCCCATTTTTTTCTGTTTGCTAACCTTTTTTCCTATGTTTGTACTAACCTTCTTTCTCTCTCTCTCTTCCAACTCCTGGCTCTCCCTTCAGCAATGCAAATAAAAAAATGCTGTACAATATAGATAGTCCTTGTTTACCGACCACAATTGAGATGTTGAGATGGCAACTTGGATGTTACGCAAAGTAATTGCTAAGTGAAACAGTGTCTACGCTTATGATATTTAAGTTTCTTTTGCTTTACAGACCTATGAAGATCGCAAATGCAAGGATTGGTTACGAAGTTATTTTTTTCATTACCATCATGACTTTGAACAGTCATTGTTTGAAGTATTTGCTAAACAAAGACTACCTATATACTATTTGAAGATGTTTGGGACTGAATCAGAGTCTCATTTCAGTGCAAATACCAGATGCTATTGTGTTAATCTGACTCAAAACTGAATCTGGAAAAAAAGAATTAAAACTTATTTCTTTCCATACACAATATACGCACTATCAAATTTTGCTGTATCCTATAGTCCACTTTGAGAAGGCCATTTTCTGATCCAGGTTTTTTAAGGGGCTTCTTACAGACAGGTGGTTCTTTGCTTGACAACCATTTGTTTAGCACCTGTTCAAAGTGATTACAGTGCTGAAAAAAGTGATTTATAATCAATCTTCACAACTATGATCATTACAGCATCCCTGCAGTCATAGGATTGCCATTTGGCTTCTGACAAGCAAAGTCAATGGGAAAGCTGGCAGGAGATGACAAGTTGCAGTCACATGATGTATTGCTTAATTACCTTGGGTGATTCACTTAACGATTGGAACTGCCATTGCTAAATGAGTTGGTCATGTGATGTTTCACTTACTTACTGCCTCATTTAGCAATGGAGTTGCTGGATCCAATTAGGGTCATTAAACAAGCAGTATCTGTATTTTATTTTTAAAATTCACAAAACAAATAGCCAGTTCTTATTTTTTTAAAATGAGATCAAGAAAGTTCTTCCTATTTTCCTTTTAAAAACAGTTCTTTTTAAAGGGCCCCCTACATTGTCAGCAGAATTAGGTCTTTATAAAGACATTTTTCCCCTCTAGAGCTAACAGAAATCTCTTTATTTTTAATATTCTCTGTGCCTTCCCTAGTGGGTCTTCAAAAAAGGCTTCTCTCTCATAACCATGTTATCATGAAAAAATCTCTCTTGTAGAGGTCTGTGCTAAGGGATGTTTCAAAGATCAATAAAGAGATTTCTTGGACAATGTGGTACAAAGGAAAAAAAACTCTTGGTAAATCAGCATAAACATTTTGAAAAGCAAATGCAAACTGTGGACCCTCCCTTTCCTGTATATCTTCCCTAGGTAGGACTAGCCTTAGACAATTCTTGTAGCTTTCTGTGTTTGTCTCACTACAGTTTCACTAGAAGAGGAATTTCCATTCTTAATTGGCAGATTAGGATCATGGCATGTACTAAGAGTTACACAAAATTCGTCTTTCCATTGAAAAACTCATTTAGACAGCCACTGATTCTATGAATGGTGCCTCAATTTACTTTAAAGCCTGAACCAGTATTGGAAGCATTTTGACCTTCGGACGGCTTGACTTTTCTTAACTATTCACTTTCATTAATATTCCACCATAGTTAAGGAATTTGTATTCCATTGCTATATATCAGTGATGGCAAACCATTTAGAGACCGAGTGCCCAAAAACTGGTCCCGCCCCCATTCTACCCCCTGCTCCACCCCTGCTCTGCCCCCACCCCATACCCCGCCTGCCCGCAGTGCCACTCATCACCTCCAGGTTCTGCCGCAGATCACTCAGGCAGCCCAGCAGCGCCATGGCGGCCACGCCTTCTGCCCTCCCCCCACAGCATCAATTGTGTGCAATGGGGCTTGAGAGCAGAATCTTGTCTATGCTGCCTGGCTGCCATGTCCTTGGCTGCGCTGCTTCACGTGGGTCACGCTCGGGGGCGACTCTCCTCCAGGGGGGCTGCTGGTGGGGTCGTGGGGGAGGCAAGGCTGGGTCAACGGCACGTGTGCCCACAGAGAGGGTTCCGAGTGCCACCTCCGGCACATATGCCATAGGTTCACCACCACTGCTATATATTGTATACATTCATGATGGGACAACAATTTTTCATCTGTAATTGAGTGTTGCCTTTCAGGGAGACAAAGTTATTCTTCTTAGACGGGTTGATCAAAACTGGTATGAAGGCAAGCTACCGGGAACAAATAAGCAAGGAATCTTCCCAGTGTCCTATGTAGAAGTCAAAAAGAGCATGGCCAGAGGAGAAAATGAATATCCTGTTCCTCCCATTCCCCAGAGTTACTCAAGTGACAGAATCCACCATTCAGCTAAGGTAAGAAATTATTTGTTCTCTGTACCACTTATTGATTTCAAATATAAAGTTTGTCATAAGAATAAATTATACCATTCTTATTTTGTAGTGAAGATTGCACCATTTTTCCTCTGTTATGTTACCTTGATTTTTATGGTGTTCTTGTATTTTTGTACTTTATATTAAAAATAATGTATTTGCACAGTTTAAGCCTCATGAAAAGTATATGGAAGCCCAGTTTGATGCTATTTCATGCAGACTTATTTGATTCAATGACCTTCTGTGGATCACTTTCCCTACACATCAAGATCCTGAGAAATGCCATCCAACTACGAAAGATAATGTTTTTGCCATCCCCTGCCCATATGTAAACTCTAATTGAAAAAGTTTCTGATAATCCACTCTCTGGCTGCATCCCAATGTGCTCTTTACATAATTACCAGAAGGGAAAGCTGAAGATTAGACAATATTTATCAAACACTTCTGGATCCAGGGAGGATCTATTAAAGAGAAAGGTAGACAATCTCCCAGAACCAGGTCATCATATACTCACCCAGTCCTATATTGAGCCAGGAAGGGCATAGACTAAACCTCAAGCGTCTGAGGTCATACCAAAGAACATTTTTCCACTTCCTGGAAAGAAAGGTGGGAAGCCAAGAGAAAATCCACATAAGGGAACTAAATAGTGCTCCAGGTAATTATATCAGGCTGTTCACCAGAGTCAAAACCATGGTGAATCTGAGTGTTGGGAATAAGCTATGTAAAATGGCTACAGTGCCCAGACAGGATATCTTCCTGTTTATTTTCCTCTAAAAGAGGATTTACCAGCTTAAATAAGGCCACCAGCCAACAACCTGCAGCATCCCATTATAAATTACTGCATAAATATGTTTTGCCTGCAAGATTTCACATACCTAGGCACCTGTATCTTTTATCATTGTTCAACTTGGATAAAAAGAGAATAGTTTTCAGTGACAAAGAAAGGAAATAAAAATAATGAATATGAATTATAATTGTTTTAGGATTCTCCAAAGAAAAAACATTAAGATAATATTGGATCTTCAGAAGATGTTTTCATGCTTGGGTTGTGAAAGGAGTGGAGACTTGAGAAATTCCTGGTCCAATTGTGTAATTTTCCAGCATTAGGTCACATTTCCATAAAATTTCTCAGTAAAAAGTGTAACTCAAACTAGAATTGGCGTTTTAACGGTTACTAATGCAAGTTACTTTCGTTCTTGCACTAACATGTGGTTATTAAAATGATGCAAATACAACATATACTTTTGCTCGTCGGTTTTTCTAGTATTGGGGATCAACAGCAACCCATCATATTTTAATTAGCACTTTACCAAGGAAGTTGGTGTATATCTGCCTACTGATACCCAATAATGAATGTTGTACCGTTTGATTTCAAATCTTCGTGGAAACATAATGTAGCTCTTCCGTTTTTCCTGTCCCTGAGCTCCACTTCTTGCTAAATAAGCATTATGCATAATGCCAGAGATGGACACAACATACAAAACAGATAATAACTTTATAGTAAAATATTTAAATGTGATAAAACTGTATTCATAGCATATGTAATTTAATATTTTTATATCTACAAGTGGTTATGGGTGAAGATTTCTATTTAAAATTGTTCTTGCTAGTTAAAATATAGCTATTCTTTCTATTTAAAATAACTATTTAAAAAAAATACAAAAGAAGATAATTTTTATATTTTTCAAAGTTTGCTCAGCATTTGTCTGTCATTGTCCATATTAAATCTATGTGACTTAAAAGTTGATGCTAATTATCACCACATCCATAAGACTATTTTTAAAGTTTATAAAAATATTTCTTCTTCTGTTTGTGTTTCTCAGTGACAGCTGAGATCCATTCTATATTATTTACATTATGTTTTAAGGACTAAGAATCATAACTTTGGATTTCCTGTGCAAATTAATTCATTCAAAGTTTCCATTTATCCCTGGGTACCTAAATTCTACATATAATACAAATGTTAATATCAGACAATTTTCAAACTTTATTTTCAAATGAGGATTTAACTTGGAAAATTAATAACAAAAACTACATTTTCAGTATTTACTGAAGCAGTGGATATCTACTGATGCAATATACGTATGAATCCCAGCTCTTCCATGCTTACAAAAGGACCTTTATTTTACCAGAAGAAATCTTCAATCAATATTTCAGCTTAACCATATTATTTAGCCAATAATGATATTTTTCAACACATTTTGAGTTGAAAATAATTTTCTATTATATGCACTAACTAGCATTTGGATCCTGTGTACCTTTAAGAGAAATGTAATGATGTTGTGAAGTGCTATTATTTTTAAATTAAAAAAAAAAATGATTGTGTAACTGCAGAGAATATAAATATAATGTACAGCTTTATTGAATCTGTTATTGCAGGGTTCTTGCATCGGTGAAAAACTTAAAAACTTGCACCATCTGAGATTAATTTTGATTAATCTCAAACTGTCTCAGCCTGAACTGCATTTTTCTGTGTTATGCAGAACCACTCTCCTCTCAAAAGAATAAGGCTGCAGAAAGGAGAGTTCTGGTAATCACATCTGGGCCATTAGTCACTGGCTGGCATGAGAGCAACATCGTGAATCAAATCTGTCTTGATGTCTGACATTTAGTCTTGGGCAAGAATCTGACAGAGTTTCACTTTCCAGATATGCTGTCTGATTGATATGCTAATGAATTCAGAAGTGTATGCTCAGTGAAGTAATATTCTATAAAGAGGAGTTAACAGGATATTTTTTAAAAAAAACACACATTCTTCTTGAGCCCAGTCCTTCACCTTGTTTTAATTCCTGTGCTTTCCCTTTATTTCTCAAGTGGGATTCCAAAACACCACCCCCTCCTCCCAGATACAGATCCTCTTCTTATCCAGATTCCAATAAAAGACATCTTCAGGCCATCACTGATGAATGGTTGTCACTGACTCTTGGCTTTCCATCTTCAAGCACACCTTCCCCTCCTCCTCCTCCTCCTCCTCCTCCTTTTCCTAAAAGCTTTCTTTCTGGTTTAGAGGAATTTGGCTCTCTGCCTTTAACAGGTTCAGAGAGGACAGGCCACCTCTCAGATAATGTCACTCCTCAAATAAAGCATGGCCGTACTGTTCCAGTTCCCTCATCAAAGGTCTCCCATTCGTTCCCCGACTCTTCACCCAAGCCATTTTCTTCATCTACATGTACATCACGTCCTCCAGCAACTCATTTTCATGACCAAGCACATAAGCTTGAGTGGAACCATTTCAAAGGGATGAAAGAAAACCCCACTGTCAAGGAAGAGAAAAGCCCCTCAAACCCTGTGCCAGAAATGCAAAAGATAGCAGGCCATACCCTTGCCCTCGCCAAAGAAGACCTGTTATCCAAAACACTGAAGGAAGTTGGCAAACAGGAGGAACTCTGTGAGGAGCTGCTGTCAATAATTCAAGGGGAGCAATCAAAAAGTAAAGATTTAAGTTTCTACAGGCATGCCCCTGAGGTGCCTGAAGAATTGGCAAGACTTCATATAGAGGAAGAGCCAGACCTTGACCATTTAGAGTCAACAGTGGCAAATAAGAGAGAATCTATGATAACTTTTGAAGGCAACAGTTCAGCAGATACTAAAAAAGAGGTATTTAAACATTGTACAATTTCTGTACTTACATCATTAGTCCATTTTTTTTCAATGTATGTGTTTTTGCATGAGGCTTTCTACTACACATTGCAATCCTCAAGAACAATTTAAGCACACTAATACACAACATTCCTTCTTCAATTCTTTTTGGAGATGAGCTGAAAACTACCCTAATTGCTTCTTAACTTTTTGAAAACAGCTACTGTACCTACTATTAACTCTGGCTTTTACCAGCAGTGCAGAATCCTTGACTCTTTCCAAGGATGACAAGCAGTACCTAGGTAGATGGATTTTTGCATCAAAACAGAAGATGCATTTAATGTCTTATTATGGTGGCATGTATTAATTTCATTTTAAATAAAGAGCCCTATTTGAATAGGAATCATGGCATATCGAAAAAGTATGTTCGCCACCTTGAATTATTTATAAGAATAATAAAGATGGGATATATATAAATAAATACAGAAAAAATATAGAAAAAATGCTGCACTAAGATCCAATTACTTGTTGCATAAATTATGTAACATATTAGTTCCTTTTATTATTATTATTCTAAAATAAGCCCTCTGCCCAGCCAAAAACAGTTCAGTAACTCCATTAAATGCCTTCATTAGGTTGCTGAGTAATGTATCATTCATATTGCTTATTCCAGATCTATTAAGGATAATTAAGGAAAATCCCCAATTGGCTGTCTAGTTCCCAAGCCATTTTCATAATCCTGGTGTTTCCAGGCAAATTTAATCAGGACATAGCAAAATGTTTGCCAACAAACTCATTAAAAAGGCAAGAACATTTTAAATGATAAGAAATAGGAATTATCCATGATTTAATTAAGACCAAGATTTCTCTGGACACATCTCTTTTCCTAGCTATGCTCTGTCCAGCTGGGAAAAAAATTGATCCTTAAATGTTGGAGATGAAACAGTCATATCTTTTGTTGCTCAACAATATCAAGCACCCTCTTGAACAGTCAGGAGAAAATGAGGATGATGCTCTCCAGTTTAGTCTCTGGGAAAGTATGTCACTCAGCTTGCCTCCTGATTGGAGCATAATAGAGAGGGTGTGGCTGAAAGGAATATAAATCTAAGGGTTTATGTAGATGGGTGATGTTTTTCTTCTTTAAATAGTGTTTTGATTTCATACAGTAGATATTGTGACTTGTGATTTTATACCACAAATACTGGTATAATTTGCAGTGTTTGAATGAGGCTTTCTACGGAGGCCTGCAGTAGCTCCTGTTTCATTTAGGAAGTTATAAATTCTGCAGATCTTTTTATCAGCCTATCTTTATGACTGAATATACTCCAGACCCTTAGTTGGAAAACAGAAACAAGAATAACACAGCTGTTCTTGATTCAAATTATACTGATCTTTCAAACTGTTTTTTCATAAGCCACGATCATGCTTTTGTGGGCATGAGGTGGTTGTATTGCAAACCAGGGTATCCTTTTTCAACATCATTGCAAATATAGACCTCCACTTACAGGATACAGGTTAGGATGTTTTATACAATAAATGTACTTTAATCTTTTCTTAAACTTTATATATGATCTAAGAAAGATTATATTTAAATACATTCACAGAGCAGTCTACTCATACTGGTCTATGACTGCAAAAATTGAACTGAATAACCTCACTGCAGGTTGTATTTAGGTATGAATTATTTCCAAAGAAGTAACTTGCAGCACTGTATTCTCAAGAAAAGGGAGTGGGACCTGCTGTTCAAGAAAGTTTAGCCTGAGGAGCCTATCTTTGTTCCAGTAAGAATCTGATTCATACATTCATATACAAGTAAATCTTTTCAACATAGCATATAAGCCAGGTAGGGCCATCTTTCCTTTCACTGATGGGGGTGTATATTCTTCTTTGTTGCTGTTTTTTTAATCTCTCCCTTTGTAATTGCTGTTCCACAGAATTACAGTTGTCTCTCTTTAAATGTTTAAGCCAGCATCACTTTCCCATGAGATGAAAGCACGTTCTACCTCTCCTTCCTGCCTTGCTTCTAGTTCTCCATTTCATTCAGCCACAGCATCTTTTCCTGAATCTATTTCTGCATTTTCCAAGGCCACTGTTACCCATTCACCCCCTCTCCTTTCAAAACTCTCATACAGACAAGAGAAAAAATCATCCAAGTTAAAGGTAATAGTGCCTGCAAACTATGGAAATAGTGCACGTCTTCTCAACTGCTTGACCAATGGAAAGCTTGGAGGTTAACCTATTATTAAAATTTGGATTTGCAACTAATATTTAACACTGCAAGCATGCTATCGTTAAATGTTTTTAGATGACTGATTTAAATATGTTAAAATTACCTTGCAGCAATCCAAGACACACACACATACATACATAATACATACACACATACATGCACACACATATGCACATTTGCTGATGCTTTATTTAAACAAAATTTGTATATCAGTGATTACACAACCTGTTTAAATACCATGTGCTAAATAAAAAAATATTTTAAAAAACCTAAAAAAATTATCATCAACTTTCCTGGCCAAGACTTCTACCTAATAAGTCCCATTAATACTAGTGCTTCCAGTAATGCCAGTATAGACTCTGAAGGTACTGAAATTCTGAAGGTATTATTAAGCACATATTCTAAAATCCATTTCTTTAATACTATAGCAAGTGCATTTCTTACAATTATTGGGATTTATCCCTCTCATTGGTCTTGCCATCAGAAATCAAGAATAAGTTAATTCAGTGTGCTAGCCTAGAAGCCACATCACAATATGCAATAAAGCATTCTAGAAAGCCCTCTAGGCACAAGCACACAAACAAGTGGAAGAGACAATAAACTTTGTTCTGGTTCATTTATCTTAGGAAAGAATATCACATGGTCTCTTCTTGAATTAATGTTACTGTATTTCAGAGGGGGGGAGGGAGGGAGGGAGGGAGGGAGAGAGATGGTAAAGAGATAGATAGATAGATAGATAGATAGATAGATAGATAGATAGATAGATAGATAGATAGATAGATAGATAGATAGATAAATGTATAGATGAAATGGTCAAAAATTTTGAGAAGTAGAAGGTGACAATAATAATCCTCCATTTAAAACTGCCCATTATAAAGTTAGACCCCAACTCTTAATGCCGCAAAAATCCTGTTAATAATAATACATGCATGAACTGTGGCAGTACAGTTAAGAAATTTCCAAATATATGCTTTTTTAATTCAAAGACAACTCATATTTTGACTTTTCTTTCAGTGGTCACAAAAATATGAAATCTGTAACACTCTTGACTTTAACATTTCATAAGCTTGAAGGATATATATGAATATATGTAAAGCACATACTTAGATTTTTACTGATATCTTTCTTGTACATTATTTTTTTTTCTGGCTGTGAAGTGTTAACAGTAGATTGTCCTCCAGTGTTATCTGCGCACTTGATCGAATCTGCTACCCCTGGAAGATTTGTATAAGCTTTATGAATTTGGGATACTAAGGATTCTCTTTTTAAAAGAAGATATCAGCAGTCATGTTCAGGCATAGTGGGTTAACAGATCTGCATGCCCTTTGTGTGCTTTGGAAATGAAAAAATTGATTTCCCAGCTTGCAGGAATGAAACTGCAGGAGATTGCCCATCTAGATGTTTAGATGAATTGATTAGTGTTTATGGTTTTTCTAGGCTGATATAAAAAGAGAAATCTCTGTCATCGGCAAACCTCCTCGTAGTCCTGCTTTGATTAGGAGATCTTGTGGCTCACCTGTCAGAGGGCACAGCTATTCACATAGGGTATGATACTACATGGCCTGTTAGGTATTATCAGGTTTCCCCCTAGCATAAAGTCTTTGGAACTGGTTAGAGGATCTTGAATTCACACGTTCAAATAATTCTAATGGTTTTTCTTTCTGTTGTTCTGCTGTAGAAAATATTTTGAGTGGTAACAGTGTGAAATACATGGTACCCTATGCTTGACCTCCAAGTTCACTGATAAAATGTAAAGCAAAGCTATTACATGTGTCCATTAAATCATCCTTTTAAAAAGCACATTTTTAGCCACTCAAATTTGTATTTAACTTCCCCCCTTGTAAATAACTCCTCTTGTTTCAAAGTGTTTTACTTATGAGACTGTTAACAGTGACTACATAATGAAGCCTCTTTGTACCTTTCATGGGTTCCATAAAGTTTAAGTTATTGTTCTTTGTTTTGAATTGCATGATCCTGTTTTCAAAATATTTTGCTGCTATAGCAATATATATTGTGTTGATTTGTTAACACGCTTTCTCATAGCATTGCTTTTTCTAGAGTTGTCATTTGCATTAGCTTTTCCATACATATATGCTTAAAAACATATATCTTTCTCAAATTGCAGTTTTGGCTTAGCAACGTGACTATCAGTTTCCTCTGGTGAAAGATAAAAGTGTGATTTACACATTTTGTGTTAAAGCCAAATCTTAAATCTATCCAATTGTTTTCCCTTTTGTTTGTCTGGATTTCATGGAAAAGTTTAGGAAGAAGAAAACAATGTTATTTAGATAAAACAACCTAACACTTTCAGTTATGTTGGTGTCAACTCTGGCAATGAACAACTTGAATGGGTCACTGTCTATGAAGATTTTCAATCATCCAGGTCATGGTTGTCCCAAAGGTGCTTTTCAAAAGACAACTGGACTTTCTTGTTTTTTTTCCTTGAAGATGTTTCACTTCTCATTCAAGATGCTTCTTCAGAAGAAGTTTCTTGGATGAGAAGAAACTTTGGGACTTCAGTGGGTCATAATGGCTCTAATTTATAAATGAATTCCAGATTGAGGCTGATTGAAGTGAATGGATTTTAAAAAATTGCTGAGTTTTGTAACAATATCTAACTAAATGGATATACAACTACGTACACATCTGTAAAGCTAATATTAAGTAGAGTTTCCTCACCAACTTTATCTAGTGTGAAGTCTTAAATCTTTTAAATTATACTCATAGCTATTGATCATTGTTGATTACTCATTGCTCTCTGCTTTTGACTACTGCATTGCATTTTTGATAGAACAATTCTTGAACGTTGATTAAATTCTGTAACTGATGTAAATGTATATCCATTATATACCTGTGTTCCAATGGTTGCGCAACCATCTTTGTAGCTCTCTGGGAAACAAATCATCAGAATAAACATGAAAACATTCTGAAGAGCTCAGATCAGATATAATAAAATATCATTTATTCTCCTAGGCATATCCTCATAGAACTAGGCACCACACGATTCAACTGGGGACAGTCAGTAGCACTGATGAAGAAGTGTCAGGACCTTTCTTATTAAAACATTTTAAGGGCTTTAAATAATACTTAGTAGTCACAGAAGCATTCTCATGTACCCTATAATGATTAAATATAATTCATCTGAGCACCTTCTAAAATAAATATATATGTTAACATGTAACTATATGGTTTAGATATCCATGAAACATAAATAAATTTAATCTGTTTTAACTTACAAGAGTTTACTTTTAGTTCTGTCATGCATGCAGTCACAAGAAAAGACACAGCTGCTTTAAGATGTTGCATGTAAGTCTATATTCACACTCCTGTGCATTCCAAAGCTCATTTTGGAATGCAAATCTACAGTGCTATATAGTCAAAAGAGTCAACATTTTAGGCATGAAATGTAGGCACAAGACAGTTCCATGCATGTACTAAAAAAATTTAAAAATGTATTTTTTTTTATAAACAGCCTCTAGTCATTAACTTATTTTGAAACTTGTTTGACTCTCTCACTTGTTTGCATTATTATTTGCATATGGAGAATGTTTTAATGTATGTGTTAAACTCTTAGGCTCTAGCATGCACCTAGTGGCAAATGCATAAGACTTAGATTCAGGAATCCTTAAAGGAATCCTTCCAAAATCAATGGAGTTTGAGTGATTTCTGATGTCTGCAAGGTCCTATTCAAAGTCTGAATCTCATGCAATAACATTGTATGCATTTCCCATTCAGGAAATGTTGAAGCAACATTTAAGCTGCTTTCTAATTTCTGCAGACAGTTGCTAACAGAAAAATATTTTAGAATAACTGCTGCATTCTGTTTCTCTCTAGCAACATATTTTCTAATCATATTTAAAAAAATAAAATTAAAGAATGTCTCTCATGCATTTTCAATGTAATACATTATAGTTTATATAATGTAACAAATCAAAACCATTGTCTTTTATATAACAAGTTTCAGTTAATGTATGAACATATTGTTGTGTGGAAATCAGAGATTGCAATGTTCTCTGATATATATTTGGGTAGAATCTAATTTTTCTCTAAGCATTCATTTTTTCCAAATGAAAGCAATAAGGTTGAAAAAGTAGCTAAAGTGTGTCCTAAAGCAGTAAGCAGAAATTTGAAGTAATTTTAGAAATTGCACAATCCATGTCTGCATAGTTGTCTAGATACAGAAAATGGTAATTCACAACTTGACTCAATAATTTATTAAGATGTATTCATCTTTTAAATAGCTACCAAAAGTGTATGGTTTAGTTTGGTATTTGTCAACCTTGAGAGCTTGAAGATATGTGGACCAGCTCCCATGCTGGCTGTTGAACTCTGGGAGTTGAAAGCCACATATCTTCAAGTTTGAGAAACACTGATTTAGTTCATAATTCTGATTGTGCCAAAATATTTTTGGAAATAATTTGTAGGATTGACACTTAATTCATAATAAAATTTCAGAAAGGATTTATAAATATATCTCAAGGGCTATTCTCTTAAATAATAGATCAGGCAAGAGAATCAAATGGTTCTCTTAAAATATAAATTCATATTTGAATTTGTCAAATTCCTACCTTTATCTTAAATTTTATTTATAACCTCAATTGAACTTTTGAGAGATCAAGTCCATTTTCTATAACTTTTCAAGAAGTGTGTTGTCCTGGATTAATGACTAAATGGGTGGAACCTTCTCACACATATTTTTGATAAACAGCTGGTAATCTTTTGCTCTCTTCTTCTTTTAAGGAGTCCTTAAGCAAATACATAAACCTCTCAAGGCCAGGAAGCATAGTAAAATCTCTCTGAGAGGGCACTTCTCTAAGAATGTTATCCTCCTGACCAGTCATCAGGAATGGCTGCTCTTTGTTGATGAAAAGCACTTGAATTGTAGTGAGGCTGTTTTTCCTGCTATTTGCTTATTGAATGGTGTGGTAAACTCTGTGACACTAATGGTGTTTGAAAACACTGAAGCTAAAACTTATCTGCTTTCTTTGGCATAGCAAGTTTTAGGCTGAGAAGGATAAAGAGGCTTGCACAATAGAAAAGTCTTTGAAGAAATTGTTTCTTCTTTATCCCCATCTTTTTACCAGATTTTTTTTCTTAATGAGACCTAATAAAATATGGGTCTATGCGAAAATACATCTGTACAATGCATGTCCACCCATAGGTGTGTATGTATAGTTCCAAATTGTATCTTACCTACTGCTGAGAAAACCTGTTTTTAATGCAGCCCCTAAATCAGGGAATGTATTGAAGCACTTAGTGAGTTGACTATTATGGAAGACTGTGCTAAATTAATTGATTATAGTGCATACTCTTACTACATTTCAACTCATTTCATTTCAGCCACAGCGCCCTGTGTTTGCTCATGACAGTGGGGGGGAACCGTAAGTATTTTCATCTACTCAAATTATTCTTTAAATAACAGTGTTAAATTTCTAACTGGGCAAAGGGGAGAAATAGTCATGCTAGAAATCGTATATCATCCCAAGGCTCACTATGGGCACAATAGAAAAGGATAAGGAAATGGGGTTGAACTAAACTAAAGTCTTGTGTGCTTTTCTCTCTTACCATGATGCATACATGCACCCATAAACCATATCTCCATCCATTCATAATGTTTTGAACTCTTTGAGCTCTTATAAAATCCAAACATAGGAATGTTCAACCTTCATAATTGGGCACAGAAATTCCAGAGCTGTTGAGAATGTTGTATTTCATCCTCAACGCAACCATATAAAAACTTTCCAAAAAGTTTTTGGGAAATTTTGTCCAGTTGGAAGTAATCTCTGCAAGTAATTCATGGTATCCTGGGCATGGCATTCTGGACACAACCAAACTGCTTCGGACAAGATTATTTTCACCATATCTAAAATTGCTTCCATTCCAAATTATTTCCAGAAACTATTGAGCCACCTTATAATCTGAAGAGGGATTAAAAGTTCCACAGATCTCCAGGACAGTTGTTCTTCTCAAACTGGAGAATTTTGCACAATCCTATCCAAAAGAAAGAGAGAAAGTGACCATAAGTCAAACCACAAAAGTTTTAAAATTCCAGTAGATGCCATAGATAGTGGCTGTGTTGAACTCAAGAGGAAGCAAGCTGTTTAGAGAAAATGAAGCTATCATGCTATGCTAATGAATCAAATATAAGACATTCACAGAACTTTGTCAAACTGCCTTGCAATATGATTACCTGAAAATTGAATATGTATCCCATAAATACATACCAAAGAGAAACCAAAGTTGAACTAAGTAAATAATTATAGTCATCAGAAAGCCATAACTCAGTTCAAGAATTTTCAACAAGCTCCTTTAAAAAAAAAACTTGAACAAATATCCAGATTGGGGATTAGGGAATTGGGGAGCTAAAAGGAAAAAAATTAGCCCTTTAAAATCCTGACCTCAGTCAGTTGTGAAACCCATGTAATGTCTGATGTCAAGCTAAAAGAATTTGTACACCACTTTTCCTAGAACAGATAGGAAACTTCCAGCTTCTCATCTGCTTACCTTGACATAATAGTTCTGTATTTGGACCCCCTTACAGCTATAACATGTCTCCACTATAGTGGGATACAAGTAATAGGATCTGGGAAGTATACAAATTAATCATCTCATTTAATGACTGTGTAGATTTTTTCACACAAGACAAACTTATCAACAGTTCCCAGAATTGAAATGAGACTCACTGCAAAACCGACAACTGTAGGAAGATTCCAGCATATATTGTAATAAAGTGTCCTCTGTGATTGCATCAGTTGCTCAGTAAGGTCTGAGTAGATGTGAATGTTGCAACTGTATTCTTGTCTGGAAGAGCCTTGGGTTGAAGGTAGTTTATAAATCTATCAGAATCTTGCAATATGTTATTTTTTGTTCTGGAGTGAGACTTGGCATACACACATATTATTTAAATAATTATTAGCAAAGGCCAAATTTGCAATGTATTGCAGAGAAGCAATATTTAATAATCTCAGTTGATAAACTACACAGAATGTTTAGAATAAGAGAAATATAGGTATTAAATTTTTAGAATATAATATCTGTATTTAGACATTACCAAGACAGATTATGTTATTCTATTTAAAATGAAAGCATCTTTTACCCTGAACTCAACTGCTGGTGACTCATTCAGAACAAGTTCCAAATTTTCCAACTCATGAACAAACAGAAAGAGTATTTGGCTGCTACAACAAACAAAGTATATCTATTTGTAACTAAGTAGATTCCTTATTGACACAAGGTCATAACCCTCCACAACATCCTGTCACAGAGCCCTTAGGACTTTATACAATATGATTTATTAGGAAGTATGGGAATGGTTCTCTTCACAATTCTATTCATTTTTCGCTTCTCAGTGGTTTATGTATGTGGCCAAAACTGAAAAATGAAAGATTTTAATTAGTATTCTTTGTTGCTTTTATTTCATTTATATCCTGTCCATCTCCAGGATCTCAATTTGAAGAATATTATTTCCTCTCTCCATTTTATCCTCTGGTTAGGCTAAGAGGTTGTATAATGACATTAAGCAAGAACATTTATTTAGGAACTAGCAATGCAATCCTTTGTTTCCACTCATAAACACCATCTATTGTGTTCTAAGAGGGTTATTTTCAAGTGAGCAGATATACAATTGCGCTGTGAACTGGGAAATTTTTCCAAGGGTAGTGAATTAGCAGTGAATGGCAGTGAATAGGTAGATGTTTCTTTATAATGTATAAAATTAGGTATTGGATACTATAATATAATTTTTAAATATGCATAATTGGAACATAATGCATGGAATATAGAACTGATAAAACCATATTTTTGTAACACTGTATGATTGATAATGTATTTCAGACTTTATTGTCAGTATATCTCTTAAGAAAGCCACCAATCCAAGTTTTAACAATTGTCAATTGTCTTTATTTTGAATATATTTTGAATTTTTTAATCCACATATTTGTATGGAATTTCATATAATTAGATTTTTTAAAAATCTAAATAATTACAGAAAACCCTAGCATGATAATTTTTTTAATTTGATTTTTATCCAGCAAATATTGTTACCTAATAGGAAACAAATAAAATTTACTTCTAGGGTACAAGCCACCATTAAATAAAGAAGACCTTTTAAATAGAAAGATAACAATGCAATGGTATATCATTCCCAAGAGTAACATGCCTATTGACTGCTGACAAATTTATTGTGAAAGGATTCTTGAGGAAAACCTAGCATATTCAAAAATGCAAAGGAAAAATAACATAAGTGAACCACATAAAAGTACATATATAAATTAGTGGCAATGATATTCAAAACTACAGAAGATATATTAAACTCCAACTTCCATAACGCTGGGCTACTTGGCCATGTTAGTTGGTGTTTATGAGAGCAAGAATTCAAAACCTCCTGGGGGAGAGCTTAGCTTGCTTGCTCTTGAGGCTCAGAGAAATGGTATAGTGTTTCCTGCTTAAGCAAGAGTTTGGACTAGAAGACCTCCAAGGTCACTTCCAACTCTGTTATTCTGTAACCCTGAAGATGTATGACACAAATAGTTTGAATGAGCTAAATAGATAGGAATAAAGTTGAGACATTTTCCCATTACCAAATAATATGCTTTAAATTCTATCAGGAAATACAGCATCTTCATGGAATGGTGTTACTTTTGGGCAGATAGGTCTGTTATTATTGTATTTTTAAAAAGCAGTAAAATAATCATTTGCAAAGAAAGTAATTAGAAGATAAATTAATGTAATTAAATCATCAACATTGAGGTCTTTTTAATATTTTTTCCAAGTGCTTAGGATTATGTCATAATTCTCCTAACAAAGCTGTAAGGGAGGAGAGGGATGCCATGGCCCTTCAGATGTTGTGAAATGCAGCTCCCAGCATCCCTCACCATTAGAAGTGTTGGCTGGAGCTGCTGGAAATTGTAAGGAAAGTCAGCATTGCAATGCACCATACTGGGAAGGATGGTGGCAGTGCAAAGCTGAAAGTCTGTAAGATTACACAAGGGACTACAAAGATCTGCACTAAATGGAACAACTATATAGTGCATACTATGTTCCACATTTAGGGAAGCATTTTGAAGTTTCCTAGGCTATCTTCCCTTATAGTTCATAGGACTGGAATGTATCTTCCCACTCTTCCATAGTGAGATGTGAAGCACTCCAAATTCAATTCTCCAAAGGTCCTTTGTAGCACAGAGCTGCAATGTGATCCAAGGAAGATGTGGCTGCTTTAATAAGTTGCAGACAAGTGCTATGATCATGCTCCTGCATGCTCCAAACCACCTTTTGGGATCTGAATCCAAAGAACTGCCCAAACATACATTTTTTAAAATGGTTTTAAATGTGCGTTTTGTACACTTAAGTGTGTTCTTTGCTAGTGTGCCTAATAATTAAGACTGATTGTAACTACACATATTTGGATTTACAGCATTTTAGCCCATTTATTTGAATTGAAATAATCATATTGTGCTTCAATAGTTCATGCATTACTCCATACAGGCCTTTCTATATATCACTGATTTGAGTTTTAGCCTGGCTTGTTTTTATCTTCAAAGAATTGTTTAGCAACCTGCTTTACCATAGTGAAAATGCAAGATGTTTTTTTTTTCTTTAAATGCATCCATTTGTCCTGTTTAAGGTTTCAGGTTCTGTATAACTATACTCCTAGGAACGAAGATGAATTGGAGCTGAGAGAGGGAGATGTCATTGATGTGATGGAAAAGTGTGATGATGGATGGTTTGTGGGTATGTTTTCCATAACTTCAGTAGTGCCTTTTTAGTAGGATATATAAGTTCCACTTGGTTTTCCTAGCCTGGTGCCCTCAATCTGAATTTCACCTGCAGTCTCAGAATTTCTACCCAGCAGGGTATTTAGAGGGTAGCATATTAAGGAAAGCTGAACCCTCTAATGTATTACAACTGGCAACTTTTTATACAGAGTTATTGCATGTATTATTCTAGTTTGCCAGCCATAAAAAACATTCTTGAGATGTTCCCCCAAATCTTATGCCATGTGCCATTTATTCTTTCACATGTAATATAATCACCCCTTTCCAGATCTTGTTGCAAATATTATAGTTTTTACATCACAGCAGATCTTTTTCTTATGGTGCACTCCGCAAATCAAACATTGTTGTGCCGTCTTTCATACCAATTTGGATCTAAACTCTAAGACTAGAGGAATGTATCCAGCAATAAATGATGTTTGTGGTGCACAGTTCTAAGCATGAGGAACTGATTAGCAAAGAATCCATACTGCATGAGATCTGCCTGTATCGTGGTATCTTCCTTTTTATGTGTGGGCAATCTCCTACACTATAAAGATTACCATATTAGGAGACTTGGCAAAAGTTTGCCACCATCATGTCCTAAACCTTGACATAGTGAATTTCTCCATTAAAATTGATGGAGAAAGTATCATTCTCACATGATGTCCTCATAAGCTGCGAGAACTTTCTCATTCTTATGGGTGACTATGGATTCCCTTCTTCTTATTGAATCTGATGCGCAAAATGCCTGCATTAAAAAAAGCCCTGCTAAGTTGGAATGAAAATACTTAATAGAGCATTCATTTGATTAGTTGTTTTATTTACAAATGAATGATTGTTTCAATATTTATATATTTATTGAAACCTAATATTTGACTGCTGCTTCCTTACAAGCCCCTATTAAAAAAACAGTAGACAATTAAGACGTTTTCTTTGATGTTATAACTGCTAAACAGACAACATGTTTAAAATATATGGTTTGTCTTTTTAGCAGTGGGAGTTACTCAGCAAAATCTATTATGATAGTATTACATTATTTACTATGATTGCATTTTTCATGGCTACAGTATTATAACATAACTTAAATTCTATGGCTATATAATGCAATATCCCATATTTTCCTATTGTGGTAGCATTAAATATGTTTATAAACAATCCTAAAATGAAATGTAAAGGCTGTCTTTAAAGCATGAATATGTTACTCTTGCTGCCATGTTTCATGTATTGCTTCTACTTTCAGGAACCTCCAGAAGAACAAAATGTTTTGGTACTTTCCCTGGAAACTATGTCAAGAGGCTGTGAAATGAATATTTGTTTTTGTTCCTTTCTTATTTATGCTGCATCTCTGCCACACATCTGCATAAAAACTGCTAGAAAGCATCCTCCACCAGCATCCTTCAGTTTTCCTGCTTTGCAAATCCAGGTAGAAATCATGCTGCTCATCTTCACCATCTTCATGCCATCTGCCAGCCAGCAGTATTATTCAACAGCTAAAATGGAATCCCTGAGCTTTTGTGAAACAAGAGGAATTAGTTCTATGTGAAATACATCTTTTTACACCTTTGATTTTTCTCTGGCAATGCCAATTTGGAAAGCACGTATAAAAAAAAGCTTAATGGAACAAATAGCATGGCACTTCAAAATGTTACCAGTTATTTGGGGGAAATTGCAATAGTATCCTTATGAAAAAAAACTACTATCTATTATCACCTAATATATAGAACAGATTGCCATTTACTACATTTTAATGGGTTTCCTTTTTTTTTGAGTTTTCACGTTTGTAGCTCAGCAAATATATGTTGCTGTCAGTTTGCTGTGTCACAAGTTTGCCTCTTCTTTTACCCATTTGCAAGATACAATTAGTACTAAAAATATATTTTTTTCCAAATGTATATTGCAATATCTGCAAAATGCCTGTAAAAATTTAAGCAGAAATAATCAAAAGTAATATTGATGCTAGAATACTTCATAAGCCATGATTTCCAGCTGCATCTCATAAAACATTTTATTAGAATTAGACCAATGAGGATCATAAATTGGTTAAAATCATTTTTTTTTCAAAATAATAAGAGCTTTAGACATGAATTTAGTAAGTATGGAAGCATGAGTTAGATTTCCTGCACCTTCATGTATTAATATATAAAGTACAAAAACTTTCATCTGTTTGTAGGAAGAATCAGAAGCTCCCAACACAGTGATGTCTCAATAGGGAAAATGTGTCATATTCTATTGATATGTGCTAATACAGGAAACATGAGTTGGATGTACTTTCTATGTTCATGTAATTAATGTCTTAAATTAAGTGGAGAGATGTGTATGCATGACTCTACAGGATGAAATTGATGATTCTAGTGTAGTGTACATGTCTCTCTGGAAGAAAAGAGGGAGCACTATCATATGTGTAAGTACAGTAAGTCTGTATCCTGTACATACACCTATTTTTAACTCCAGGAACTCATAGAAAGGAAATTGTGTCTGTTATTTGACATTAGGAAAGCTCAGAAATACTGGAAAATCATGAATCATTATGAAGCAAACTAACAATGAATAAGTATCTGCTTTATAAAAACTTGCTGGAATTGCAATAGAGTATGTGAAGTCTAATTCATTTATTTATGGAAATTCAGTAATGGAAGAGCAATGTTAATATTCTGTTTGATTGTAGCACAGTCACATAGAGTTGGGGAAATCTACCCAAAGTATTATATGATGCTATTTTTTGGCTAGGTAACCGGAACTGTATTTTCTTTCTAGCAACATAGCATTAAAACAAGGACGCAAACAGGAAAATTAGTACCTGTGAATGGAGTTTCATTTTTGGAACAGTATAAAATATTGAAGGCAATATTTGTGTGTGTGTGTGTGTGTGCAAGTTTTTATCACAGCAGTAGCAGGTGATAAAAACACAGGACTTTATATGATGTTATGTAAAGCCGTGCAGGTTTGGTTTTGTTGGCACCTTACAAAAGACAAAACAGAAAATCTTTTACTGCATTTCTATTGTGGTAAAGGACAGATCTCATAAATTTGTAGGCTTGTAGCATTTTGTACATATATTTCCTTTTTTTTTGTACAGAGCCATTTTATTGTTGATTTTTTAAGGAAAAAAATCATGTTAATCATCCCTTTTCCACCAATAAAAATCACATCTTTATTTTGTTAGTTTCTCCTCCAATGTATAAGCACATTTGGATAGTGCATTTCTGCTAAATTAGCAATTGAAGCAAAAGTTTTATGAATAATATTATTGTTTACCAATCAAATTTTTAAAGTGTATATATGTCTTTAATATGAAGAAATATCAATAGGATAGCAAAAGAAACATCTTTGTGCTGCATACCTTTATTACTGCAAATTTCATGGCAAAAGCTTGAAACTTCCAAGGCTTTTTACTATAAACTAAATGTGCATGCAGCTTTGCTGTGAAATCTGTAATAATTTTGATGCCATTTATGAATGAAAACTTGTCTATCTCTGATGGTATTTTAAAAAATGCACTGTTTCTATCCTGTATCTGATTTTAATAGAAGATGTTTTTCATACCTGTTTTCAGGTAATTGACTCTGAATTCTTATTTGCAAAGGATTTCTGTGTTTCTTTTTCCTTGAAGAGACTTCTAATAAAAATGGCTTGAAATACATGAGTGCATCTTGTTGGTTATCATATGGCAGAGCATTGCCCATTAAAATTCAATCAAGTGTTGTTTGAAATGTTGAATGTAATCATTATTCCAAAAATTAGCAAGGGAAAATTGGAAAGTAGAGACTGTTTTTATGAAGTCAGTGGAATTTCTAAGTATTTTGTAACTCAGATACATATGCAGACCTGGTAAGAGGTGGGCCAATTCTGTGATAATAGCTGTAACACAAGAGTTTTTGGATTGCTGGAGAATAACATAAATTCCAGAAAGTTCTTCTGCATATGCTATCTATGAAAATGTATTAACAGTAGATCATAGTAACATTCCAATATAATCAAGAAAAATGATGGCTACTGTTACATATTTATTGATGTAATTTCATTCTAATGTATACATTTTAAAAAAGCATTAGGCTGGGCTACATATTTAGCAAGACAGTTCCATCTGCAGGAAACCAGCTTCTTACAATGCCCAGCCCTTGCCCTAGTTTTATACAACCAGTTCTAAGCAAAATGTTTATAGCAAATTATAGCAAATCCCACATAGAAAAGGACATGGATGATGTGCTCCTACATTATAATGCATATGCAGGTCTGATTTTAATGTCGTGGTTCCGACAGATGAAACTCTTCACAAGAACTTTGAGGCATTGTTTACCTTAAAGAATCTTTTATTGGAGAAACATAGTCGAAACCAAAAACTAAATTCCCCTCCCCTGGATATAAAGTAACAAAGCACAATTCCCTCTTCCAATAAACAGTCATAAATCACATTCCCCAATTAGCTTGAAGCGCGGGCTTTCTCCCCAGCTCTCCAGCCCACCAAAACTCTATCAACTCTGGGCCCAATGACCTTGGGTCCCCACAGCTGAGTTATTATTGTTATGACTAGCTGGACTCTCATCCACTTTCCCTCTCCAGCATCAACTAACTCTAAAAGCAATAGAGAAAAATAGCTGCATTTCCATCTGTTGTCAAAGCAAGAACATCCGATGTTAGCAGTGTTGACATTTAATAGTGAAACAATGTGAAAATTTTGGGGTATTTTTTCTGGTATTATTCAAACACCCCTCTATGAACTTTGTTGAGAGTTTTATTCTTAAGAGAAACCATTGTTTGATCTGTGTTCCAACCTAGGAAAAAGAAACAGGCCTTAACATGGCTTCACACCAACTACCTCACTGAACATGTAAGCCATGTTTTAAGCAAAAGTACTGAAGAACTAATTAGGACAAAATATAAGTGAGTGCTGTTTTCAAAAGATCCCTTCATTATTTAAGCTACTATAGAATCAAAGCTAAGCGCTATTGATGTCATACTAGAAATTGTACAAGCCGGATCTAGTATGCACAGAATAGCCCTTCTCAAATTAGGAATATAGTCAGGACCTAATTTCATAATTTTCTGTTGGAGCTAAGTGCTATTCATTTTTTTAAGAAAATACATCTGGAATTCCACAGTGTGGGAAATGAAATAAATTCGGACTGTCGCTATCAACTTTAAGATCTACCATAGAATTTTAAATATTCAGTGCTTTACAGTGGTTATTCATCAAATAAGACAAAGCCCTCCAGTGGAGTATCACAAGGACCAACCCCGGGTCCTCTACAATATTTCTATCAAAGGCTTGGATGAAGAGATGGGACTAATGTTTATCAAGCTTGCATGTGAGATAAAGTTGGGTGGGATAGCAATATCTTGGAAGACACGGAAAAACAAAAAAATCAGATTTTGAGAGGTTAGAGAAATTAATCTGAGGTAAATTAACAGAGGTAAATTTTAGTAGATGAGGAGAACCAAGAAGATACGCAGCTATAAAATTCTTCATCTGGAAAACAAAAAATACACAGATATAAGATGCAGGATATTTGGCTTGGCAATAATATTTGTGGAGAAAGGACTTGAATAATCTTGAGTTGCAAATTGACTGTGAGGTAGCAGTGTGCAAAAAAGATAACTGCACTTTTAGATTGCTTCAACAGGCATATAATTTCCCATTGATCAAACATAATATTGAGCAGTGTGTCCACGGCAGTTGGGAAGGGATATGTGAACTTGTCACAGTTCCAGTACCACAGTTTTAAAAGGGATTCAGAAGAAAACAGAACATGTTCAGAGTATGGCAACAAGGATAATAAAGGAGGTAGAAATGAACTCCTATGAAGAGAGATTGAAGAAATTGAGCGTTTTTGGTCTTGAGAAAATTGGGAGAGATATGAAAGTCCTGAAAGGATACCTCACAAAAGGTCATGACTTGCAGTCTCTCATTCCAGAACATAGGACACAGAATCATGGCTTTCAATTGTAGAAATGAAGATTCCTCGGGAAACCTTCAACCACATTTTGACAGTAGCACCTCCAAGGAGAGGTGATAGGTTTCTGTTCATGAAATACTTGGAGTTGATAGTCATCTGCACAGAATGCTTCAGTTTGATTTCTTGTAGTCCTTGGGAGCTTAGATTTATGGAGCCTCTCAAACTCGTATGATTCTCTGTAGAAGTCCAGATGTTAAGCAATCAACATTGTGCCTACCTCCTGTCAATAGAAATGCACTCCTTCCCTGCTGAACTTAATCCTTTGCCAAAGGAATTAAGATTATACCTTTTCAAGTAGGTGTTTTAAATTATTTTTCCAGAATTCTTTTACAATTTGGGATCTATTAGGTTATGAATTAGATTTCAAGCATGTGGTTTTCTTGCATTTGTATGTCACGTATTCCTGAAGAATATAAAGCAAGTAAGTAAAATAAAATTATTTTCCTTCTGGTGGTTGATACACTTGAAGAGTTGCTTTGTTCTGGCACTTTTGGCCTGGAAGTAGAACATAAGTCTCTATGTTGCCAGCACAAGGGAAATAAACAGCAGTTTTCAAAGTTTAGGATGTAATCATTTGGAAAATATGTGCTCATGGTTCAAAGCCACAATCAAGTAATAGTTTGCCATCCATGTTGATAACAAAGGGCTTCAGCCATTACAGCTGCCCAAGTGTCCTTCAGTGCTAGCCAATGAAGAAATTAACAATGGGAAATTAGTAATCAGGATGGCTTTATGCATAATTCAGCACAAACTGGCCTATTTCATATTACCTGAAATGAAATAGTTGAAGACAGAAAACCCATTACACAAGTTGCTTTCTGTCAGGCTATTTTTAACTCCTTTCGAGGTGCTGCAGATATGTAGTGGGACAACCTTGGAATTAAATAACATACAAAAGCATGAAATAAAAAGAGAAAAATGTATAGCTACTGAAATGTATTTTGGATAATTTTTATCTCGTGAATAGTGTATAAAGTCTGCATAATAATGTGCTTTGTATCTCTAAGTGACACCTATTTTCCTCTTTTTCACTGTACTTCATAAAACAAAAATTATTTCTAGGACCTGAAAACTGGCGATCAATTGCATGCCTCAAATACGTGGGAAGCAACACTATTGAAATGATTTCAGAGCCTCTCCATTTAGGAACTATTTCAAGTTTAGACAGAGAGAGAAAAAAGTACCAATCATTCTTTAGATAAAAAACATTTTTGGCTTATATGTTAAAAACAGAACTATACTTCAGACTAGTCGGTAACCTGAGCCAGTTGCATTTTTAAAAAGCACAAACGAAGGCCACAACATTATGCTTGAAGTTCCACGTGTTTTTTATGTGCATTGCAACTGCCATTTTGACTTTTTAAACCATATCCTATGGATACCCCTGAATATAATTCATATTTGTATACACACACACACACACACACACACACACAACATATCAATTTAGTATCAGTCATGTTTGCAACAGAATAACAGAGCTGGAAGGGAAATTGGAGGTCTTGTAGTCCAACTCTCTGCTCAAGCAGGAAACTTTATACCATTTCACACAAATCTCTTTTTAAAAAACTCCAGTGTTGGAGTGTTGGAGCAAGTTGTTCCACTGATTAATTGTTCTAACTGTCAGGAAATTTTTCCTTAGTTCTAGGTTGGTCCTCTCCAATGAGAGAGATCTTGTTCTGTTTCTTAAATAAATCCTAATTTTCTTTTCAGCAACTAATTAGCACTTGCTGGCATAATATGTGACCAGATACTCAGTAACCTTTTTAAAAAGTTTTATATAAAACCATATCAGATGTAGTTGAATGTAGTGGATTCCCAGGAGGGAAGGAGTGCACTGAAGAGGAGTAAGAGACAACTCAATCCAGATATCAGGTGTGAGAGAAAGAGGGTGAAGGCAGCCCCTTCCTAATAATTCACAGTCCCTATGTAAATGCAGATAGTAGAGTGCTCAGTCTGGCAAGATTTTGTCTATAGGTGTGAAACAATAAAGAACTCCACTTGGAAGAATCACCACATGTCTTTCTTGGTTTAGGGCAGTGGTTCTCAGCCTGTGGGTCGGGACCCCATTTGGGGTCGAACGACCATTTCATGGGGGTCGCCAAGCAACGCAGTCCGCCATTTTTTCCCCTTTTCCTTAGCTATGCTACTCCCTTTTATTCTATTGGCTTTTGAAAGCCAATAGAATAGACTCTCTTGAATACAGTCTAATTCTATTGGCTTTCAAAAGCCAATAGGAATTGTCCAGGCTGTCTCTGCCCTGCTGAGCCCGCCAAAAGTCCCATTCTGCAAACGGTACTGAACCAGTTGAGTAGTCCTCGACTTACGACGGTTGAGTAGTCCTCAACTTACGACCGGTTGGGGGTTGCGGCATTAAAAAGGTTGAGAACCACTGGTTTAGGGTCTGACATCAGATGAAATGTGAGCTGCAATTATTAGTCTAGAGCAGTTTTAAAACATTAAAAGGATATATTTTCTGTGTGAGATACTAAAAGTCACCATGGGAAAGCGAAACCTTTTACAATGAGATACCGTAACTCCAGAGTCTTTCTTCTTGTTGCCTCTTTTTTGTCCTCATGAGCTCCCAGTGGAGAACCAATGAAAATTAGGAAGCTGCCTCCATGTACAGTCATCTTCATGTACAGTTGGAGCAGCTTCTCACAAATGACCGTCCTCGGGTATGCTGG